TCCCTGAAAATGATAAATATAACAGAAAACAAGAAAAAGTTAACCATAAAAGTTTAAAATAGAAGTTAATGAACATTAATAAACAGTAAAAGTTGATCCACAACTTCCTAAATTAATGTTACATAAATCATTAATGGGATGGGACAAAATCAACTAAGTATAAAATTGAAATAATTTATATTTAAAAAAATGTAAGTTTTTTTTTTCAGTTTAAACAAAATAAAAATTAAATATCACATTTTGTAGTTTAAATTATGATAATATTCAACATTATTTTCAAGTACAAAAAAGCATTATAAACTATTAGAGAAAACACAGTTTTATTCTATCTAATATTGGAATGGCTGGTATGGTGGGTACAATTAACACAGGCAGAATCATAACAGAACTAACGGCAGAATCATAAGTAGTAAAAAACTATATACACATAAATGCATTAAAAGATTAAATTTTTTGAAAGAAGTATTTAAGATGTGAGCATAGAAAAATTCTTGTTCATCACAAAACACAATTAACCTGCTAACTGGGAAATTAATTTTAGTTCAATATATTTCAGGCATGAAATTTTTGATTTTCACATTGAGAAGTTACATTTTCTACTAGTAAATAATAAAAACACAGAGATTTTCTTAGTCAACTATTTTTTTAAATTTCTCTAAAATACATATCTTTCTTTCTAAAATTTTATCATAAATAATCAATCAAATATTTTCAGTGGACAAAAAAAAAAATATTAACAATGTAAAAAAAATTTTTGAATAACATAACAATCACTCCTAATATCTAAATTATGTAGTTTTTTTTTTTTTTTTTTTTTTTTTTTTTTTTTTNTTCCGTGACTATACATATTGGCTGTATTATGAGATTAAAAAAAAAAAAAAAACAATAATTTAAAGAGACAAATTATTACCCAATTGCATGCTCATATATTCATAAAAGAATATACCAAGTCTCAATTTGTAAAAAATATTTTTCACAGTTTTTCTAAATTATAGAAAAAGTATATTCAAGAATATAAAAAGAAACAATACCAGCTACCCTATTATTCTATTTGGATTGAAGCTTTTAATTTTGCCTTTGTTCTAGATTAAATATATTAAAGTCATTTACAATAGATTTCATTTGTTATTTGCTTTTAAAAATGTTTTTTTCGCTATATTTCCATGGACAGTTAATTTTTCAGAATTTCATTTTTTCTTAGTAATATGTTGTAATTACGTTCCACATTCTGATTAATAAACTTTTTAAGAAGTTTTGAGGATAAAAATATATTCATTAAATCTGCCTTTGTAGATTAAAAAGATATTAATAATTTTAAAAAATAATTCAAACTTTATAAAGAAAGAAAAAAACATTTGAATTTTTTAATAAAAAAAATAATTATTTTTTCCTTACACCAATTTAAAAAAATTAAAGTCAGCTCTAAACAAAGATGGGAATAAAATAAAATGGTAATTATATTTTAAACTGTACATAATGGAATAGCCTGTTAAATTGTACATTTACAGAGGGGACGAACACTTTTGAAATACTTACACAACACTCAAAATTGACATAACTCTTATCTCATTATTTAATCAATTATTAAGGCATCTAACAAGTAAAAACACAAAATTAAAATGGAATTCGAAAAAGGAAAGAAATGATATTAAAAGTAACATTCAGCAAATACAAGAATAATCACATCTTTAGTTTGCTTTCTACAGTAACTGTGAAATTAAAAATTTAATTAAATGTGAGGTTTGATAGCATTAAGTCCAAAAAAAGCGAGCTGTGTCAAATATATACGTAATTAAAAAATTATATACAATTTATTAAATTTTAATACATTTAAAAATATTTACTTTTAAGGTCCTATAGTTATTCCATGTAAATAATCTCCAGCTCAACAGGCAATAAATAGTAAAACAGTAACGAAGCTTGTTAAAACATTTTTCAATTACAGTAGGGTACCAATTATCCGGAACGATCGGGACCATCGCTATTCCGGATAACTGATTTTTCCAGTTTTCTGAATCGCTACAAAAAGCCATTTTTTATATTGTTAAACCCAACTAAAAAGAAAAAATATTTGGAAATAATCTTAAAAAGAAAAAACAATGAAGTAATACAAAATGATGGTAGGTAAACATCTTTCAAAAAAGAAAGAAAAATCCTAAAGTCTTATGAGGAAAAAAATAATTTTTTTTTAAATGGCGGGAAAATTTATCGAATTTCGTTCCGGTTTTTTGGTTTTCTGATTTCCGGATAACGGGTTCTGCACTGTAATATATAAAACCTTTACCATTAGTATCCAGAAAAGAAGAAAAAATTTGGGCGGACTCTAATGATTGCCATAAGCATTATAGTTTAAGAAAATTAAAGGGTCAAAAGCAATAAACTCTAGATTACCTGGAAAATTGGGTAATAAGATAAAAAAAACTGGTAAAAAGCTGTCACATTAATGTCAGTTTGCACTGACCAATTGATGGTGCTCAAATATAGCTCATACTTAAATATCTCCTTAAAGACACTCACAAAAGTTCTTCAGCAAAATAAGTGCATTTAAACTAAATAAGTTAGATCAGTGCAAATGTGTTTTACTGAATTAAAATCTGTTTTCTTATTATTTATGATTGGCTTTTAATAAACATTTTGTCAAAGTGCAGCAGAATTCATCATTACGGAAAATTAAATAGGAAAACAATGGGATATCTGATAAATTAATTAGGGGCATGATACCAGAGACATAATATTATATTAGACAGAATCTACTATGAAATTATTATGTAAAAAATTTACTGTATCATTTCATAGACAAACTTTTTCAAAGAAAATCGTTTTTCAAAGAAACTCCAGATAAACTACTAAGTAGATACTTGGAAGTTAACTAAGATTTAAATGAATATACTTATTATAAATATACTTAATAATAAAATAAATTTTATTATAAACTAAAACTATTTTTAATTCAATACAATATCATAAAACTGATTTTTACACAATTTTTTCTTTTTTTTTTGTTGCTGAATATACATTAACATAGCTACAAAACTTGAATGAACTTTAATGAACATTTAAGCTTTAATAAAGAATTACCAACCTATTAATACTTGGTTTCTTAATTCCTATGCATATTATATGAATGTACCAGATACATTAACAACTATTTATACTGTTGCAAGCATGAAATTATATGAAATTAAGGATACAAAATAAATTTATCGAAGACACATGAAGCAGAAAAAAATATATATAAATTTTGTGATCACTGTATTTTCAATGCTGCAATAACACTAACAAGGAATGAAACTAAGTTGCTTTTCATCCAAAAGAAGTTTTTTTTTTGCTTAGAAATACTTTAAAGAATGCTTATATAGGAGAGAACATTTGTCCATAATTTGCAGAAGTACACATTTTTAACCCCACTTTGCAAGGTATCCTAACAATACTGTTTACTAATTCTATCAGAGATCCAAGCAATTATAATTAATAATTGCTTTCAGTCATTCAACTAGGAACTCAAATAGAAAAAATTTTCTTGCATACTAAAAAAATTTCTGAATGGAATGGTTGGGTTTTATTTCATGTTAGCAAAATAATTACAAAATATAAATCATATATATGTTTGATACCAAATAGTTTTATACTCATTATATATTATAAAGACAAGGTAATAAACTTTAATTCAGATTTTTTAGAAGTTGGAAGAGAAATAGATATCTGCTACTGCAATGCATACAGTGGCAACAACAGAATTGACATGTAAAATAATTTTAAAAATTAATACTAATCGTTAAAGTTAAAGGTGTTTAAACGTCTTGTAAATATACAAATTTCCTATTATAAAATGATAGTTTGGAATTTAAGTCTTTCTTGACATTCTTTTTAGATATGTGTCGTAGCACCCAGATTGAAAAAGAAAATTTCTTTCAAAATCTGAAGGAATGAATTTTAAAGATCATAGTTTGAGATTTAACATAATTATACAATTTATCAAAAGTTTACAATATGTCAATTTTAAGATATGTCTGTCATGATATTGATAAAAATACATTAAGCAAGCAGATAAATCTAACCATTAATTAATAATGAGTGCAGTAAAAATTTAATTTTTTTACTCATGATTAGAATACATACTAGTTTATGAATGGCATGAATCAAAATGTATTCTCTACTATATTGATGGTAACAGTAAAGTGGAGTTTAGAATTAAGATAAATGGTTAGTCAAAAAAACAAAGTAAGAAAACATTTATCTTATAAATAATATTATTGAATTTTTAAAATTAAATAAGACTCAATAGAGAGGTTTCTGAAAGATTTTTCAAGGCGCTAAAAGGGTCATAGTTAATTTAGCTGGAAAGCTTTTAAATATAGCAAATATAAAAACGTTTACCTATAGCTACTTTACGAAATATTTTCTATTAAAAACAAGGGCAACTAAATCAAGCAGAAATTTTGAAATACAGTTGAACCCTGATTTTAAGTCTGCCGGACTAGCATTGAAATACAAACAAAGCAAGAAAAGGTAAAATCGGAGTAAAAAAAAATGTAAGCATGTTTTTCAAAAATTGACACTTACTAATAAGTGAGCTATAAGAAAAAAAGCAATCTTTACTTATTTTTATATACAAATTCAACAATATCCTGCTCAATATTAGCAATTGCCAGGAAAATTGCTTATGGTTTACATTAATAAATATTGTTTTAGAGTTTTTATGCTTTGAAACTCTTGATCAGTTGTGGGTATACCCTCCAATATTTCTTACTCATCTTCATCACTAATAACGGAAACAGACATTAAATTAGATATTGAAGAGTTGGGATGCGTATAGCAATCGATATACACATCTTAGTCTTTCAAAAGATCTATCGTTACAAATTTTTACTCTAAAGGGCCATTGTTCCCATTGAATACCAAAAAGCCTGCTTTAGTAAAAGCTGACATCTTCAATGAAGAGGTCAGCTTTGGTTGTCATATTTATCCAACTTTTTTCTTGTCTCATTTGTTTCAATTCCTTTTGGATTCACTGCTGCTAAACGTGTTTTTTCATTGGAAGTACTATTTTTAATTGCATTAAAATTTTGAATTCTTTACTTAACTCACTTTTAATGCAATTTAAATGACACTGTCAAATGCTTAGAAATCAAATCTGGAGCTTACAGAACATTTGCTTCTCTTTTAGAATCATCTTGCAGGTCACCAGAATCAAGAAGAAGAAAAATGATTTCCTAATTGATTCTTTAAATGAAAGGATTATTCCAAGATTCATTAGTTGAACTTTGATGGGAAAAATTCCACAAGCAAATTTTATAATTTCAGCTTCCTTTACTGAAGGTAACGTGCTTTGCCCATCCCAGCACATTTCTGATTTTGACTTAGGAGAGAAATCCCCTCACGCATAAAATGGACAACAAAATGGAATAGAAAGAATATCAGAACAATTTCAAACAGCTGAGAAATAAGACTTTCTTTTTTAGAAAATAAGAAAAAGATTGGATAAAGTTTGTGTTTACTTTATGTAGAAAAAATTATCTTGATCAGTTACAAAAATGTATAAAGCAGGATTTTTTTTAAATAATGTAATTTAGAATCTAGTATATTTTAACATTATCAGTATAGGATATTTTCAGAGATCAGCAGAAAATGACATAGGAAGTGGGATAACGTAGGAAAGGAAAACGTAAAACCGGGATTCCCAGTTTAACATAGAAACTTTGTTTATTTGTTTTTAGTATGAAATAAATTATTAGAGTAGAAACAGCAAAAGTACAATTAATGTAACAAAATTTCTCCCAGAAAATAAAATTTAGAAAAAAAATATTATTAATTTCAGAAAAAACAGACACTTTTTCTTGAGTATAGTAAGCATTCTAGATATCTAATTTCATTACTCTAAAAAGCAAAATATTGAAACACCAATAACTTACAATTTTCATAAAAACGATTAAAAGATCTAGAATTGTATTACTATTTTTTAAATAAATTTAAAGACACATTACTTCTGCACAGGATTATCTTGCATCACCACGAATCCTAGGATATGGTGGCTATACCTGTTACAGTAACAGGAGCTTGGGATAAATTAAATAGTAACAGTAAATAACGCATTTAATTTAAGCAACTGAGCATTAGAAACAAAAATTATACAACTATCAAAACAAAAGCCTTATAACATAATCAACCAAAGAAAAAAAACCATCTCACGTGATACAAAACAATTACAAACAACACAGCAGAAGATATTAAACCCAAGTCTCTTTAATTTAGTAAAGCATATAAAACTTTTGATACGAATTCAGTTCTACACAGTTTATTTTGAGGTTCACATAGATTGTTTTGCAACAAGACTAGTCTAGGAACTAATAGATAATTAGTCAAAACTACCATCACTGTCTTCTAAATCAATATCACTGTCTTGATCGGAACTTGAATAACCAATTTGAAATATACTCTTCTTTTTCAAAGACATCAGGTTATTGTGGCATTGAGAATTCTTAGTTGGTGGTTTTGGAGTTCGGAATTCATACACCAATTCGAAGATATGTTCAACTGCTTTCTGAGCATTCTCTACACTAGGAGCTGTAAGAGAAAGAATAATATATACATTGAAAAAATATATATCTATAAATATATCTGTTATGCTGAAATATGCAGAAGATATTTTTTAACATTAAAAAATTTAATTATTTTATTTAACCTCTTTCTCAGTAAATAAAATCCAGTAATATAATCAGTAATATATTAGTGCCACAGCCTTAAATTAAGTGCAAAATAAAATCTATTTTTAGAGATTCTATTTAGATCTGCTTAACACATTAGTATAGAATTAGAAAACCAAAATATGGTTGGTAAATTTTATGATTTTATAAAAATTCTTTATTATTTCTAACACTTTCCTTTCTGCCAACACATTTGAATGCATAAAGCAAGAAAAAGAGCCTTGGCAATAAAATAAATAAATTAACAGCCAATACATGGATTCCTTAACTTTCCTAGGTGAAAACTCTTCTAACGAATACACAATACTGGTATTTTTTATTTCTGGGTGGACGGAGGTTTCTGTGGGGCTTAGCCCTGCAGCCATACCCAACAATTTTTTATATTTAATAGCTCATATGTACATAAAAATGAAGATCTCTCTTGAATTTGGAGTACCATAGTTCAAAAATCAAACATTATTATTATTTATCATATTTGATTCTTCATTAAGCAATTAATGATTTTTGATAAATAACTGCTTGCCTATATCACTCTGGAATAAAATAGTGAACAATTGAAAATGCATCTTGAATCAACATCTTCAGCCAATTATGATCTTCATTATAAACCTTTCATCATAAATTATTTTGCCACTGCAATAAGCCTAACTTTTTCATCAAATTATCTATAAATAGAAATCTATAAGCTGATTAAAATCCTAAAACTTAAACACAATAGATATTTTTTAAAAATAATATATGTTCTAAAAGCTCTTCATCCACGATCTGAAACATAGAATATTTGGTCCAATAATTTAAGGTTAAATTTCTGAACATTGTCATTTTTAGATAACTCTTTATAACAAAAATTAAGCATTATGTTATGCTTCAGCATTTCACTTAAGTGCTACAAGACATCAAATACCAGAGAATTTATTAATGAGTCTATTATTAAAATTTTAATAATATTAATGCTTATCTTATCACACCCATGTATATTATATTTACTTTTCTCTCTTTTATATGGCATCGAATGCATTTATAACAATTTTATGTAGCTTTAAATGCAATATTGATGCAATTTTACATTCATTTTAAAACAATAAAAATGTGGTTCTCGCATAATGATTTTGTTTCGTATTCTCATTGATTTTATCTTGCACTGTGAAACCCTGTTGCTAATTAAGGTTTAATTAAGTCAAGTTAGTTTTATTGAAAAGGGTCATGTACTCAATGAAAAACTACACACATATATTCTCAATGGGTAGCAGAATCGCAATGATAAATAATTTTTATTCCAAATAATTTCAATTAGTTAGTAATGAGATGAGGTAGCTGAGGAGATAGAGCGCTTGCCTCCCAATGAAGCGACTCAAGTTTAAATTCCAGCCATGGATGGTTGATAAGAATTCTGCACACATCTAACATAGTGCTATCATAAAATATCTCCGCTGGTAGGCGGATCATGGGTTTGAGTCCCCTTACTGTTGAGCAAACTGGGAGAGGTTTCTTCTCTCTATGCAATGCAAATGCAGGTTAGTTCTTGATTCTTGAGAAGTGCTTAATTCAGGAGTTCCTTTGTCTTCTGGATTGGGTTCAAAATTGCATGGTTACAGAGTTGAATATCAATAGTCGTAAACAAAGCCAGTTAAAAAATAAAATAAAATTAGTAAGTAGTTACTATTTCCAATGAGAAAAATAAAATAAAAAATTATGTGAACATTATTCATCTAATTAATTTATTGGTCTGAATAGAGTGTAAGAAGTGTGAACAAGTATATATAAAATAGAAGTTAAACAACAATATTTGTAGACATTTTTGTATTAAATATAGTGCAGAACATTAAAGAATACCTGACATATGCAAAAAAAAAGAGCAAAAATGGTATCTGATGTAATGAAGTATGAAACATGATAGAAGTATCTATGTAATTTCTGTAAAACTCACCAGTAATAGTAATGCTTCCTGTAGTAAATAGCTTCAAAGTTGCTTTAAGCTCTTTAATTTTATAAGTAGCTCCAGGATGTAACTCAGGTTCATAGCTAAAAATGAATACATTCATTGAAATAAGTAATTTTACACAGATTTATGTACTCAAAAAAAGGTAAGAACAGTGGTTAAGTATTTAATATCAAGAAAATTAAAAATTAACAAAATTATCAAGTTTTAATATTGTTTTTTTTACCAACCTAAAATACACAAAATGTGGTATACCTTTTTTCAATATATATGAGAAATAATATATTAAATTGTGTATTCAGGAATGGTAGAAACATTTTTTTTTATTAGAAATACAGAAAATTATCCCAACAGCAAATAGGTGGTTTTAAAATGCTTTGAAGCAAAATTTAATTCCACCTAACTTTTATTATATCCAGAATTTAACTGCCTAAAATAAATTAAAACTTTACACCAGAGAACATCATTGAAGAGATGCCACAAAGTGGCTTTTTGGATCATAAGTGAAATTTTGAGAAGCGTTTTCTGGTTGGGTGCAAGTTAATTTTTGTTATTGGATTTAACTTTGAATTCCATAAAATACCAGAAGACACTTCTGTAGTAAAAGAGAATAAAGTTGGCTGGTCAACTAGCTGGAATGCGTGAAGATAATAATTGCAAAAAGATTTTTCTGGTGAAGCCCTGGGAAAATACACTGAGGGGTAGACCTCAATTAGATGAATTAAATGTACTAAAGAAGATTTAAATAATCTACAGGTTGAAAATTAGAAAGTCATTGACTAAAATAAAGATGTTGGTGAAAATTTATGCAAAAGGCATTGGTCTGCTTGGGATGTGCTGTTGAGTCAATAAAAAAGATTACTGTTCATAAGATTAAAATTACAAACTGTTGAAGGTTACAAATGAAGATGGTTACTGTTCGTAAACATTAGAATTACTAACTTTGATAGATTAAATAGAAGGAAACTTTTACTTAAGTAATTGGCTACTTTTTAAATAGTTGCTTGTATACCTTAAAAACATGTTTATAAATTAGCTTAAATGGGAAGAATGTTCTTTAGTTTTTCATTAAAAAAAAGGAAAAAAATACATTTAAACTTTTTTTGTGTATGTGAAGGCTGAGAAGAGAGTGTAAAAAAGTACTTTGGGTAAAATTATTAGAGAAATACAGGTTGCTATATAAAATTGTAGCAACTTTATGGTATAAAATTATAGATTCATTTTCATGTTAAAGATCTAAGAGAATTTCTTAATTACAACAGCACACATATTTAATGATTTGGAGCATAGGTTTCTAACAAGGGTACTGGCAGTGAAGACTTTAAGGGGTGTTAAGGATTTCTAGAGGGTCATTGACAAACTATAGGTGAAATTAGAATTGAGTAAAATTATTCATTCATGTGTTAGCCTTATAGAAACATATATAAAGAACATTATACCTAGAATGGGGAGGAGCTAGAGTGGCACAAAGGTATCCCATAACCACAGATAATTTTGGGTATAAAGTATCCTTTAGTATATATATATATATAAGATACCCTATTTTCATTAAAAAATAAAAGAATATTTCAAAATATCCATAATTATTATTTATAAGAAAAGGAAACTCAATTATGAATACATAGGGTACATTATGAATACATAGAATTGAAAAGCCAGTGTTCTGCTTAATCAAATATTTTCTTTAACCAAATCAAATACCATAGAATTTCAAAAATTAAGTCTATATGTTTTTATTAAATTAAATATGATTATATTTTAAGATTTTGAATGATTGATCTACATAAATAATCTGGGAAGGGCCAAACTGGCACCTTCAGCCTTTCTAGGTTTACAACAATGTTCAGTCTTTTCAATGTTAATGATGACAATAAAATATTACCCCAAAATATAATTAATTTCACACATTTTATTATTGTTAACTTATAATTCTCTGATATGATTATCAAATCTTTCACTCAGTATCAGCTACATTAAAAAACATAGGCTTTAGACTGCAAGTTGATTTGATATCAATCATGAACAATATCACTTATTTCACATTTTTAATAATATATAAGAAAAATAATATTCAATTACGCAGTTATAAAACTGCAAAATATGTTGAATTCATTTTTATACATACACTAAAAAATTTTACATGACTTATTTCTCTCAATTTCAGCATAATAAAGCATTTCCAATATAAATACATTGGTCATTTGATATATTTTCAATAACTTAAATGCATGATTAATTGATTTAGAAATGTATAAAAAAATATTTAAAGGCTTATAATGGGATAAAAAAAAAATTATCCTACAAGGGGTGTTGAAAAAATACCCCACACCCTTTGTATTTCCTACAAGTAAAATATGTAACAGAAATGTTTCAGTGTCTATGTCTTAATAATTATATTAAAAATTAACTTTATAATGTGTCTAAGTAATTCTTTATTACCTTAGTTATTGTGCAATTGTCACTAATAAACATTTGCTTCTTGAACCTTAATTTCACATATTTTTTCAGTAAATCTGAATATTATTATTTATAACAGCTAATTATTGAAAAAAAAATGAAAAAAAAAAAAAAACCATTTAAGGGTTAGTTTGTTATCAGATAGAATGCAATATCTCATATTAGCAGGCAACACAAATTTTAAAATTGACTATTTGAAATATCTCAATCTCACCAATGATTTTTTACTGAGTGCTGAAATTTCAAGCTAGTTGACTAGAGGGCAACCAATGGAAGATTTGTGAGGTGCGCTGCCCCCTCCGAAGTTTGACTTAAAAAATTTACACTCTCATACCTTTCAATCATGATTAGGTCCTCAATACATTGAAAAATAATTTTAATAAATATGGTTCATAAGTAGATTTTGAATTTGAATAATCATTTTTTGACAAACTTGATTTCTGATGATTCCACCATAAATTTAAGTCATTTTTCAACAGTTTTTTTTTTAAAAAATTTCCATTTGGTTTTACGAGTTCTAGTATTTTTAATATAATGTTATCATGACTTGCTAACCTTAAACTATCACTTTTTGATGTGTTCCTTATTTCTTGCAACTTTATCATAAATCTAAGTTGTTTTCCAATTATTTTTTCTTATCCTTCCATTTGGTTTCATCAAGTTCTAACATTTTTAATACAATGTTATTACAACATATCAATTCAAAATTTAAATTATCTTTTTTTTATGGTGCGCTCCTTTTGCGATGATTCTGTCACAAATTCATGTTGTTTTTCAATCACTTTCTCTGCAATTTGCATATGATTTTTCAAATTTTGATCTGATTAATACAATGCTGACACTCAGTGGCTGAGTGGTAGCACTTCACACTCTCATGCCACAGGCCCTAGGTTCTATCCATGGGTCAGGCAAGGTTGACTCAGACTGTCATCCCTTCAGTGGGTCAATAAAACGAGTACCAAGCATGCTTGGGGACTAAACTCGGGGAAACCCGCGTTCGGCTGAGCACTCAATCGGAATGTCTGCTCCTGCACCCCAGGGCCCAAGGTCAAAAAAGCTTAGATGGGCACAGTAGGTCTAGGCCCTCAATAGACTGTCACACCACTGAGTTTAGTTCAATATGACGTTATTACGACAAACAATTTTCAATTTTAAGTTAACACTTCTTGATGCACATGATTGCAACAAACCCATGTTTTCAGATCCTCTTTGATGATGTAAGGACAAAAGTAGATTGAAAGTCAATGTAGGAGTAAATAGCCTACATTGATTGTGTTTTAAGATTGATAAGTATAAATAAATGAAGAATGAGAGGGAGCAAAGTTTTAAAGTGCAAAATCAAACATGGATTATTTCTTAGAAAATAAAGACAAAATAACCCTAAAAACCAATTTCCTTGAATCTGATAACTTAATAAGCAGAAAAATCACATATACATAGCTGCCAACATAGATAGGCAAAAATCCAGTAGATTTTACGAAATAACATATATTTCATGATAACTGTTGCAAAATGTGCTAAATATTTTATGGATAGGGAATTTTAGGGATTTTTATAGACATCAGAATAGAAAAACTGCAATATTTTCCGGTCATGATTGGCATTAAATATGCTTGAAATGTTGTGAATTACATTTACTCGTAATTTTGAATAGGCATATAATTCATAAGAAATAATTAAGATTTTTGTTAATTAATTTAAAAAGGTAGTTCTGAATAAAAACAAACTGAACATTTTAGAACAAAAAAAATTTTTAAACTGATTTCTATAAATAAGAGTCGCTTCATTATATATTAGTAATACCTACTTGTTTAAATATTTAAGCAGTAATCTGTGCAAAAATTATATTTCAAAAGGGATTTTTTCTAGGAAACATACTCAATTTTAGGGAATTTTCTAAAATGCACAAAAACCAGGAGAATTTTTATTAAACCAGTAAACCAGGAGGAACTGGAAAATCCAGTAGAGATGGCAACTATGCATAAATATAAAGGAATATATAAAAGGGCTTTTAAAAAACAAGTTAAAATAATAATAATAATAATAAATTAAAAAAATTTGAGATTACAAAATATCTAAGTTTTTATAACATTAAGTGGTCTCAGGATGTTTTCACAGTTTTGGGCACATTGCAGACATCAAAGTTTGATTACTCATAATTAAATAAAAAGTTGAGCTAGATTAACAGTTCTTTATATTATGAAATCATGAGGCATGGCTTCTTTTAAACCAATGCATATTTAAAAATTAAAATGAATTTAAACACATTTAAAAGAAAATTTTTAAATGTTGCGAACATGATGCAGAAAAATACAGTTTTTAGAACGTTTTTCTACATTCATAAAACTTTTTCTGAATTTTATGAAATAAATTAAACTTTTTGTTATTTTTCATGGTACGATTTCAGTTTATATCTGTACAAAAGAAATGACAAGATGTTTGAAGAAATTAAATAATTGAATTAAAAATAATAAATATGTCGCAGACATGAAGTTGCAAACATGACAAAAATTTTTTTATGTTCTACTTAAAATAACCTTTTTAGATGATCACATACCATTATAACAACATATTCAATTTTATTAACAATATATTTGCACTGGTATTTTGATAGATAAAATATTGATTAAATTGTTATTGTTTTAATAATTTTTCGTTTCGAAATTTTAAATTTTTTAATTTAGATCTTATTATCAAATCAAATATTCTAAAATAATTTCATTTTAGATTTCAGGTGATTGCATTTCAATTTGATAATAATCTTATTTATCTTTAAAACAAGTTCTAAATTGTATGGGAAAAAAATTCGCAGAATTAGGCGACCTATCACATGGCAAAGAGCATAAGTACGAGTCAACTGCAATTGTTTCAAATAGTGGTTTTTCCAATTATTTAAACTTGTTATCAAATATGGGCCTGAAATGCTGTTATCTGTTGAAATTATTTGGCCAGGCCACCAATAGTTATCCAAGGTGCATAGTCAGATTTTTTTAAACAAAAATAAGCACCTTTTAAGTACTTTTTAAGCACTCAAAAAATATTTTTAATCACTTTCCAAAAAAAATTCTAATTAGGATCTGTACAGTAATAAAAATTTTATTATTGTCTACCGTTTAAAGTTTTTAATTTATAAACATAAAATCAATAAAATTCACAAACATTTTCAAACACTTTACATAATAATGATAAAATAACTAGTTTCTGATAAATATTGTAGAGAAAATTGTGAAAAACATGCATTACTTATAATTTAGAACGACTATCTACATGGCAGAGTAAAACACCTCTATTTAAAAGATAGAAAATTAAGAACTTTTTAGAAACCCAGAATTAAAAAAAGCATCTTTAAGGGCTTTTAAAAAACATAAATCAAAAATAAGCACATTTAAGCACTTTTTATAAACACTATGCTCCCTGCTATCAGACAGTACTGTTATCCACTGGCCATCTAAAATTGTAGCTGATGTTGAAGCTTCTTGTACTGAGCTACAGCTTATTCTGATGGCAAATCAGTAAATAACACAGCTTGGTGCATGGTTTGGGGACAAGAGAGTTTACATTCAAGAATTTAAAGGAGAATTCAAAGAAATTTCAATTGAATTAGGTATTTTAGAGGAGACAAAATGTAATGATTTCATGTTTAGAAAAGAATTGCAGAGACTAAACCGTTCTTTTAACATTGATGTCTTGTTTCAACAGTGTATTTGCACACGAACAAACTATGTTTTAAGACTTTGGCACCTATTAAGGACACCTTTCCCAAGAATAGTTTCAAAGAATGACCAGCCAACATCAATGTTAAATTCTTTGTGGACAACTAAATTTGAAAACATAAATCTATTTTTGAATTGACTGGCAGCTTTACGAGACCAGTAGCCTTCATTTGTTACACTAGAAGGGATAAAGGTTCTTTATCATAAATTTTCACACAATCTTAATTGTGGGTTAGGTCAATAGAAATAATGGAATTTGACTGATGGTCTAATGCATTATTTCTACCATCCTTGAAATATACAACACAAGTGTACCCTTGTGCATTCTGTAGCCATTAATACTTGACAATGACAACTTGAAAATGTTGTCTAAATTTTGCACTGGTGTTTTTACTCCTTAAGTATTTTTCTATGCTGCATTCACGAGTCTCTGCCTGTGTAGTTGATATGTTCTTCATCAAAACTACAAAGAAATTTTTTTGTAGTTGTTTCAGAACCCCTCGGAAGAGTGGGACAGAGATCTTAGATTCCTAAAAGGATCATATCTATGTTTCTGTAGTAGATGCACACAGGGTGCGTAGCCAAATCTTTGAATAAAAAATAAACACTTTTTAAAAACTTTCAAGAACTTTACAAAAATTTTCAAGCACTCAAAAAATTCATATTCAATCAATGATATTATTGAAAAACAAAAACTTTTTATAAACAGTTATAGCGTAAAAAAAAAAAAGAAACGGGCGTAAATCGAAACAATCAGTACTTTCCCACATCACAGAGTGAATTCAACTCGACCCTGAACTCAGAACTAAAGTACCCTTACGACAAAAAAAGTGTTAAAAAGTAAAATAAAATAAACAAGAACAAAATTAAAATAAATTAAAAAGAAAAACATTTCATAAGGATCTGATATTCTCTATCCGAATTGGAGCACTCGGGTTTCGGTTTCAAAAGTGCGCGCATGTGCAAGTCATAACGTGGGTACGAAAAGAAGTCCGCGTGAATGATTACGTACCAAACTCCCCATTTTTCGTGAAATGCATGGGATCCACCAGATATCACTGAAGGGAAGGGAAAAAAATTATTCGAAAAAAAAGCACTTTTTAAAAACGACAGCTGAAAAAAGCACCTTTAAAAGCTTTTAAAAACGAAATCCCAAAAAAAGCACCTTTAAGTACTTTTTACAAACGCTACGCACCCTGTGCACATACAGACTTCCTGGTTATTCTTTCCAGATATGGAAGAACATACTAAGAATAAAACCCATGAAATTTAGTTTTCCTAACATTTAAATCAGGAATTTTCTCTACAGAATAGCTCATACCGTTTTTCCAAAGCTCATCACTAAATAATGCTTTTGATGTCCTTTCCTGTGTTTTTACATCACTTCTTCCCTTCCTGGGTACATGCGGCTAATATCTCTAATAAAAAATCTTGTTATTTTTTATTTCAGTTTCCTCTGATAATTTATCACTCCTTGTTTTTTGACAAACCCATATTAAAATACTAAAAATAAAAATGCAGTTTTTTTCAGTAATTAATTTTGCAAAGACAATATATATCTTAAAATATGTTTGATTACCAGTATTAAATGTTGCAATAGCAAAAAATTTTGTTTGTCATGCTTACAACTTATAAACTAAATTTTCTACATTTTATGCAATTTAAAAAATTTCATCAGTATTTTGATAAAACTAATTTAATACTTATAAAATACTTAATGACTTTTTGTGATACATTGAATTCATTGGAAAAAATTTTTTTAAACTAGCCAGGTTACAAATAGTGAGGAATCACTAAACTTTCAATCAATCTTCTGTCGAAGCTATAAAGACTATATTTTGCTGATACCCCCATAATTTGCAAATATCCCCAGTAAGAATTCAAAATTATCAGCAAAAAATACATTTTTGTATACGTTTTAAGAATACAGTTTTGAGTCTGATTTCAAAATTTAAAATATCACCCACATAAATTAATTAGCAAATTTAAGACTAAGTTCTCTAACCATTGAGTCTGAATACATGAAAATTTAATCATTAGACTAAAAGTTATCAAAATGTTCATTTTTGCATGTTGTACAAATGATACTTTGATTTCAGAAATACATGACACCTCTAAAAATACCAATTTTCAAATAACTTCACAACATACCTGTAGTCTTTAACGTCATAGGATTCAAAAATATAATTTGAAGATTTTTCATTAAGAAATAATATAATTAACTACATTTTCTTACAAAAGAGAAATGAAAGTAAGATTAAATAAAAGAAATTCAGAATTGCAATAGAAGACAAATCATGAGTGAAAAAATTGTGTGCACCTTGAAGATTTTTTGTTTATAACATAACTTCCAAAAAATAATGGCGTAGAAATAAAGTAAGAGACTTGGTAAAAAGAAATTTCAAATTACCAGGTCAACTGTCTATGCTTTTCAGTAAACTTGAGAAGATTTATGCCAAAGTACATATAGCAGGTACATAACACATTGACTACTCTGTAATCAGTAAATCTAACTCTAAATCCTAATTGCTGCAGACTTCTGGCAACTTTTCTAGCTGCTGTTTTAGCATCTTCATCACTGCAAAATGAAAAGGAAAAATATTTACACCAAAAATACCATACATAATTAAATTACGTAAATAAAATAAATACATAATAAATCAAAAAATACAGAGCTGCAACAATAGGTTAACATAACAAACAGTGACCATGGGAGCGAGAAGGCTCGAATTCAAGACTACTCAAAGTAAATTCTAATAGATTTAATTTTAAAAAATTTTCATTTCATATCTGCAAGGTTTATAGCACAAAATGCAATATTAAGTAATAATAAAAGTGCGTTTTTTTTTTGGAGGGGTTCCTGTTAATTTTTTTTTATAGTATATTTTTTTCCCGTGAATGAGTTCCTATTAATTTTAACTTAGGGTAGGGAGTGCATCATGTTTATTTACTTGCCATTACTGAAAAATGAAAATTACCAAAAGTAATAATTTATACTAACATATAAGTAACAGTTAATAGTGCTTGCAAATGTGTAAAATATAATTAGTGTCAAGTTATAGATTAAATAGCATAAAATTATCTTTTTTAAAAACATGTCTTTGCTCAGTGGAATTACGAAAATTTAAGGATGCTTTATTGTGGTATAAATATATAGCGTCATCATTTAATTTACATTTTAACTAATGCAATCTTTCTATTACTTTTTTAAATATTTTTAAAAATGTTAAAACTTAAATTTCTCTTCTCAAATGATTATCCCCTTTTCAGAGATATTTTCAGTCATTTCACAAAAACATTAACCTAAGATTACTTCCTTAAAATGTACAGCTTTGATACTTTTTTTTCTTCACCAAATGATTATTTTCATCAAGTGGCAACACAAAACTGACAATTTACAAAAGTGATCTTAAAAATATCCTTAACCCAGAATTTCAGTTTTATTAAATTAAAATTTATACATCAGGAGAAAAAATTCTTTAAAAATACAACTATTCTTAAAGACTCAAGTAAATTGCATGTTATTGTTTAAAAGCCATCTTCATAAATTAAAATTCTGAGAGAGAGAGAGAATGTAAAAGAATTTTCTAGCAATTAAAAAAAAGAATTAACCTTTTTTTATTATTATTTTTGCCTAAACATGTTAAATAACTAGTGCAGATAGTTACACAATATTAAATTGAGTTGTTGCCCAAATTCTATTTAAGGAAGGGGCGGTCAGGGTCCTGTTAAAAAAAGAGAAATATAAAACTGATTGTTAAAAAAGAAATTAGATAATAGCAAAATTGGTTGAACCAAAAAAAAAGTTTATCTAGATAAAAGTGGAAAATTCAATCCTTTTCAAAGATAACAACAAATCAATTAAAAATTTAGATGACAATTTTAATCATTGTTGGCAAGTTTTTAACATGTACTACTTTTTTATAGTTTTTACTGTACACAAAACCAGTATGTCAAAAACCAAAAAGCATATAGCTGAAGTAACTTATATACATACATATTAATTTACTGTTTAAAATGATGATAAGTATCGATAAAAATAGACAAATCCTATTGAACTATCAGATAAATTTTTATTTTTAAAGTATTGTATATTGGTCAGGTATGATGAAAGGTTTTAAACCATAAAAAACATAACTCATATTAAAAATAAGCAATTTTTTTAAAAAATAAATTAGGATTTAAAATAATAAAATTACCAATCGTGCTTATTACAAGTTCCGACATTTTAAATTCCCGTTTTAGAAACAAGAATTAAAAGATTGCACATCTTATTACATTTAGCTTCTTCTTAATTTAACAAATTAGTTTTTATATCTGTCAGAGAGAGAAAAAAAAAAGAGGCCATAACAATATAATGAAAGGTTTAAAAATAAAATGCAAGTTTAAAAATATATTTTACCTTGTAGCTCCAGTGCAGGTAACTTTGCCGGATGAAAAGATTTTAGCTGTTACTCTTGGCTTTCTCAGTTTCATGTTGACCACCTGAAAATTCATATATATTTAACATTTTAACAATAATCAGCTAACGACCATGAATGAATAAAAATCGTTTACTAATAACATATACACACTGATTCATTTATTTAGCACTTTTGAAAGTAAAGAAAACTTTAATTTTTAAATATGTCTGATAAGTTTTTTTTTAGGAAAATGCAATATTAGTAAACCCATTAAAGATAATGACAAATTAACAACACAAAAAACCAGAACCGGGCTTAATCCAAATCAAGAAAAAAATTTATTAATTTTTTGCAAGTATTTAACAACATGCAAATAACAAGGAGCTTATAAATAAAATACAATAGTAAAGATTTTATCTTAAATGCAAAATTTTGAAATGTTTCTCTTTTAAAAGCTATTTTACACTTCATAATAAACAGACTGATTTTTAATTTTTTTTTATTGGCTTTTACGAGAAAGTCAATATTTTTAAATAAATAAAAATTTACCTTAAAGTCTAGATATCATAACAAAAATGAGTATGTAAATGATAATATAGAAAAGTAGGAGTGTAATCAAAGCTTAGCTGTATTATTGGTACAGGATAAAGGAGAGAGAAAAAAACTAACAAAAATTTTTACAATAATAAAGCTAATTAGATATTAAGATACATAGAAATATTTAAGATAAATAAAAAACTGACTATTATTTAAAAAAAACTAAAGTTTTAAAGTTGAACAAAGAGAGGAATAGAAAAAAATACTGTCTTAATTCTCAAAACAAAACTTAAATGCTAAAAATAATATTTCCCAGAAAAAATTATTCATAAAGCGTTAAAACAGAAAAAAAACACAATCAAAAACTCTTTTAAAAATGCAGCGCTACCTTAAAATCGTCCATGAAAAAGATTAGATGCAGAAACAAAACAGAAAAAATAAAAATTGATATTAATTTTTGAAAGAAAATTTTAAAGCTAAACATCTATTTTCCAATTGTTGTATTTTCAAGAAAAAGTAATGTTTTAAGTCTAATAGAAACCTTCTTAATTGTTGCAGCATAATAAAACCGTTTTTATAAAAACATACGTTTCTTAAAAAGAAAAAGCTACATAGAAGCCAAAACAAAAACAGTTCTTAATTTTTAAATGAAAGATTTAATGCGAAATATCTCAATTTAACTCTTTCACATTGCCATATTCTTAGAAAAAAACAATCATCAAAGAATAATGTTCATTAAAAGCGCTCTAAAAAAAATGCTGTCATAACATAAAGGATGAAGAAAAGTTACCAAAAAAAGCAAAGAGAAGCGGGGGAGGAAATTTTATTCTCAGTTCTGAAATATAGCATTCAAGTTGAGAATCACAGTTTTTTATGCCACTGGTAAATACAGAAAAACAAGCAAAAAATTAAACAAATCAAAAAATGTTTCCAATATTGAAAACCTTAAGTGTTGAAAAAACAACATAATTGCTTTGCCTGAATATAATTTTAAAAAATCAGCATTACAAAACTCATGGTTCAGTAGAAAATCATCTAGTTTCAATTCCTCAAATTTCACTTTTCTATTTGTCGTTCAGAACATAAATTAACTTAATTAGAACTTGACAAATACATGTAAAAACAACTTCTAATAATGAATAGTAAAAACATGATTTTAGTTTATTCTTTATCAAATCTATTTGAATTTACCCCCAGAAAAAAACTTTGTCGAAAAATAGTTTTCCAAGTAATACTTTGATAAATATTCAACATAAGGGCCGAATATCTAATAGTGGCTGAATATTCGTTACATCTTAAAGAGAAGTAGTCTTGATCATGGTTATGCCACTTGCAAAGAAATCATTTCTCCGACTCAGTCTGTATAATATTATATTGAACTACAGATTTTTTTAAAATACTACATAAAAGTAGGTTATTACAAAATTAAGTAAGTTAGTACAAAATTAATCACAATTTATAATTATTTTTCATAAGAAACGAGGCCCCAAAACTCTACCAAAATTTTTAATTCGAGTTTAAAATAAAGAATTAAAAGCAGCGATGCAAACTGCAACAGGTTCGACAAAACATGTAGAGAATTACAAACTAAAATTTGCAGATTTTCAGTAAATTTTGCCAACTTTTTAAAAGGCTCAACACGGCTTAACAGTAACAAAATGGCATATCATATAAGCCTTTGAATCATTCAGAAGTAGCGGCTAGTAAAAATCCTATAAATCAAATTTACTAAACTAAGCATTGTTATTGTACATTAAAAAACTACCATTTAGAAAATATTTATCAACTGCACGGAGCAAGTTGATATCTCTGTAAAAAGTTGTGTAAGTAAAAATAGTTACTCTGATATCTCCGTAAAAGGTTGTATAAGTAAAAATAGTTACTCCGATATCTCTGTGAAAAGTTGTATAAGTAAAAATAGTTACTCTGATATCTCTGTAAAAGGTTGTATAAGTTAAAATAGTTACTCTGATATCTCTTCTCTTAATTAACAATTATAATCTTAATGACCAATCTTTCAAAGAAAAGACTACAATTATATTTAATCAAAGGTCACGAAAATTGTGGCTCCATGAAATTACTTTTAATATTTTATAGCATTTCGTTGCTTGAATATGTAATTTATTACAATAAAGAAGCTTTATTCCTGTAATAACCAGATTGTAACTCTATGTTGGTTCTTTTTTTCTTTCTTTTACAAGGTTGGAATGCATTATATCTTGTATCATTGTGTTATTTACATTTAACATTATTTTGAACACATATAATACTCATGATGTTCTTACTATAATCAAGTAATGAAGTTTTAATTTGTTTTTATTTTTCACACATTCAAATATAGAAATTCAGACATATCGTGAAATAACAGGAATTTTTAGTATTAATGTTGAATCGAGAAAAGTAAGAGCAATTTTACTAAAATAATTTGTTGAAAATAGTTGCAATTATAATGATACAATTGAAGGGAAGATTTCAGTATTGGTATCTCTAGAAAAATAATAGCCACATTTTGGCAACAGTATGACAGTGGTACAGAAATTAAAAAAATTATTACAGAGCACCAACTCAAAGGGCATATACTTGGAAGCCACCCTGGGTTAAACACAATTCATTTTTGAATTTTTTATTCAAGCATTAAAATCTTTTGACATTTTGGTGATAGTAGTCAATATGAACGGTAGGGATGTAACGAATATTCCGTCATTATTCAGTCCTTTTGCCAAACATTCCATTGTTCGAACGTTGGGTTTCTTTTATTAACGCTTTTATACAATAATTGGAAGACTGAGATGTTCAGCTTTAAAATTTTCTTTCAAGAATTGAGATCAATTTTTCCTTTTTTCTATTTCAGCTTTGAATACCATTAGTTGTTTTTATGATAACCCCATTCCAATAAGACAGCAAAGTTTTGATTAATTTTCAATAGTGACAAAACTTATTTACAATATATTGCTATTCGCCAGTGAACAGATATTGCAACGTAATATCGCCCAATATAAACTACAAAGCACAAATGTTACTATCATTCAGATTCATTACCAGCATTTATGCTTAGTAGTGCAGTGAACTCTCACTACTATGATATCCAATACAACAATAACTTCCTCTATTACGATGTTTCGTGGTCCCAACGAACTTCCATATGAATTAATGTTATTATCCTCTCAATATTACGATATTTTCATAAGCAATAAACCCCTGTAAACAATTTTTTTCTCCAAATTTCAACCTTAATTTCTCCATTTATTAATGATTTTCAAATAATGTAAAAAAATCTTATTTTATCATCTTTTGCATTTTCCCATATTTTTTTTTTTTTGCAAGAAAAGACTCACTGTTGATCACCCCAAAAGCTTTCATTCTTAGAATTGCTTCCCTTATCTCTTAAGAAGTCACGGGTGTAACATTCCTATCCGATTTTATTTCCCTTATGTTAAAAGCTGATCATGAGTGACAAATAGCCACAAGCATCAAATTAACACCCGAGAGAGAATTTTTTCCGTTGAGGGTGGGTGTCACCATTCACAAACGAAGAACATTTTCGTACTTTGAACGCAATGCATACTTGTTGGTTGACTTAACAGTCAGAAGAATGAATAAACAAACAAAAATATCGGATTATTTTCAATAGAAACGGTTTTCAGGTTTGTTTGTTATCTCATTTTATCTTGATTGTTTTTAATATTTAACCATAGTTAACCTATCTGCAAATTAATATATGCAATTATAGTTAATACATATATAACATTAAAATTTAAAAAAATCTTATTGTGTCCCCAAAGTATGTAGGCCCTCGATATAACAACATATTCCTCTACAACAATATATTTATTTCGTCTCAAAAATATTGTTATAGCAAGGTTTTACTGTATTAAACTCTCTAAGCGAAAGCATATAGCTTTGTACACAATTAGTGAAAGACTTAAGTTTAAAAAATTCCTTGTAGCTGCAGAATATTAATATAGCAACAGATTTCAGAATAAAACCACACTTGAATGGACAATGGTGCATAACAATGTTTCTTTACAAAATAGAGATTAGCCATTATTCATAAATTCAACAATTAAAAAACATTTATAAAATACATTAGTAATTAGGATATATTTTTTAATGATAGGTACAGTTTTATGTCCTATTTTATACAAAAATGCAACCAATAATCTGAAACTAGTGCAGATGTCTTTTTTATAGATTTGACAGTTGTTAGTTTAGGTCGATTTCAAATTCAACAAGTCAAACATCTAACCAGGATTTAGCAGCACACGTAGTCAGATTTAATTATCAATCTGACATTTTGCTAAAATTACAACGGGGGTTTCTACAAATTATGGCTAAGATCTAACTGATCAATAATTAGAAGTTTCTGCTTCAGCTGTATTTTAAGAAAAAGGTACTATGAATAATACATATGCTAATTATAGTTTTAGGGACCTTTTTTAAAGTACCTAGTTCACTTCACATACATGCATATTTTCCATAGCATAGTTTCCTCCATGAGGTCATGATATTTTGAAATAGTGAGAATGATTCTCAAGGTATTAAGAACTTTGAAGAGTTTTTCAATATGGTTATGAGAGTTAACAATTGAGTTAAAATAGAAAGAGGCATGTAAAAACTATTTGAAATGTATTAGAATTACATAAAAAAAGCACATAAAGAAACCTTAAAAAAAAAAAAAACAATATACATATATTGTACATAGAATCATGCACTAGGTATTCAATATATAGAGAGAAATGACTAAATGAGTGAGATTAGATTGACATTTAAGGATAATGGAAGCTTGATTTACTAATGAAACAGATTTAATAGATTCTTTTGAATACTTATTTTTTAATGTGACTCAGCAATAATTCAGTACATTTAAAATAAGAAACTATAATAAAATAAATTTAGCTTTCAGGTACTGTTAAGTGCATACATTAATAATTGACCTTTAAATAAGGTATTTATCAAGAAAACTTAAGTATCAAATTATGATATTTTAAAAGTGCAACCCTTTTAGTTTTTTCTCTATCTTTAAATTATAAATATTTCATAATTTCTTACATTTTTCTCTCTTCTATACTCGACATTGGCTCCATTTAATGCAATTTGTCGTAGATTTAAGTGACATCTCACATTAAATATAGCAACAACATTATTGACTATTATATCAAGTTCTGGTTGTGTATTGTCCTCTTCTGTTTCCATTACTACTAGTTTATTGGTATCACTTTCGTCTTCATTTCGGACAAATGCATCTTGATTTGCATTAGATTGCGTTTGTGCAGTTGATAGAGTAACGATACAAGGATCATTTTTCCGTTTTTCTTGGTAGTGAGAACCGATGATTGCATTAGCACTGCTATCTTCACGTTTCGCAGCAGCAACATTGTTTAAAGTATCAACATTTAATGTCTGTGGTTCTACACACATTGTGAGGTAATGATTGCCATAATAAAATCCATTTTCACCACCATAAGAAGACATTCTCAGCTAAGAGGATGCCTAAGGGCTGATCACCTTGATTTTAATCGGCAAGTGAGAGTTGTGCAAGTAACAATGGGTTAATTAAAACTCGCCTTTGAGTGTTAAAAATAATATAGATAGCCCTAAAAAGTATCTTTCAGTCTTAATTGACTTTTTTGTTCGGGCAAAAATAAAAAAATGCACAAATTGAGAAATTTTAAAGCACAAACACAAGCACATTGATTTCATTCAACAACAGCAGTCACGATCCCAGTACATATAAAGCGAATGCTTGTTGCGACTGTTGCCCACAGTCTGAAGAATCTTGGGATATGAGAATGGAAACAGAAAGGAAGTGAAAAAAAATGATTTAAGACAGTATGCGCATGCGCCAGGTCGAATGTTTTATTTATTATTATTTTTTCGTAATTTTAAAGATACTCCGGAATAGTAAAGTAAAATGCTTACTAATTAACAATGCTTTCTTAGTTTAAAATTTTAGATTTATTTTAAATACCTACTTATAAAAGAAGTATGTAGAGCATATACGTTACTCTAAAAAGCAGACGATTTTACTCTTGCTATTACTAACTTAAATGGCCAGTAATGTTACCGAAAAGTATATTTTGTGATTGGCAAGTACATTTCTTATTTTGTTATCATGTAATTAAAATCTTAATTAATGTCGAATTATTATTAACATTGAATCCATTTATAAATAATATCTATTTAAAATTTTACTTCTGGCTAGTTGAATGCTAAGGGTGAAGTAAATTTAAAGCGAAACTTTAAAGTTGTAATTATAATTTATTTACATGTTATGTTGTATGTTAATGGTTGACTGTTCTTATTTTTCCTTTTCAACCTAATCAAGTACTTAATTTGTTATGATTTTTTGTACTTCTTTAACTCTGACCTTCTTCTCCAACTGGCGCTTTCCACATGAAAGCAAAGCGAAAGATTAAAATAATATTCCTGTAGAATAACTATCAAGATTTTGAGTTATATATTAAAGCGTAATGATTGCTAAAACTGTTGTATAATACGATTTTGATATGTTTTCTTCATAAATGTATCTTAATTTACCGTCATCAAAAATATCGATTCATACAATGTCGTCGCCCTCGAGTTAGAAACAGATGTTCAAATTTTCATTTACGTCTGTAAAGTTGTTGTACAAAAACTTTAATTTTTGTTGTTGTTAATTGTCCAATTTATACTTTTAATTCGTATTTTTTGACCAATTCTTTTTTCTTATAGGGAAAATGAGAAATTGGCAGTATGTTCTGGTTGGTTACTTATGTGATACAAATCAGGAATCTCTATTTTTCCTGAAAACTTCTAAACACTCAGATCGTAAGTAATTGTAATAGTTTATCGATTCAATAAAATATATGTATTAAGTTGTTTTTTTCTTCTGTGAGGTAAATTAGAGGTTTTATTTTGACATATAAGGAATACAAACAATTTGTGGTGTTAGTTGATTAATTATTTTTATTTATTTGAATGCTATCATCCAGATTTTGTTTTACAAGTTAGTAAAAAATGGTTTTTGATAGCAGAAAACGTATGAATTCCATAGATCCCTTGTGCGATGGATACAAATGACAGAGTAGTGTAAGGTGTAACATTAATTGATTTTTTGTCAAAAGAAAGTTTTTATGTGCATATTCTATTAATATTTGTCCGAGTTTATAAATTAACATTTGTTCATAAATTAACATTAATTCATAAATTAACATTTGTTCATAAATTAACATTTGTTTATAAATTAACACATAAATTAACATTGTACTGTTGTAAACTTTACCGTTGAATTAATAAGCGATATTGGATTATATATTTCGGAATTATATATTTCTTTGGCCTTTTCTGAAGTATGTGTGTCAAAATAAAAGTTAAAAATTTTGAGTTATTAAATCCTATAATAAAAAAGTGTAGTTTTACCATATAAATCAATGTTATAAGATTATTAGGTTTGTCGGAGGAAAAATATCAGTGGGTCTAATTGAAATATTTTTTTTAGTGGTTCTTCAGGTCTCCGGAAACTAAGGGTCCGAAAGACCCAAGGCTTCCAAGTGCTTGGGTAATTTTTTACTAAAAAAAAGTCTCTATTTAAAATAATATAAATCACTTCAAATAATTTAAATTTTTACAAATTATAAAATTCTATGTGAAATAATATAGATTTGCACTTCACATGATGTTTCAATGATTAAAAAGAAAATTTGACTTTAGATAAAAGAAGGAAAATGTTGTCACCCAGATAAAAAAAAAAAAAATCATCTCTGTTATTTGGCAAACAAATTCTCTACCTATTTATCCATCTATTAATATGACCATTTATAAAGATCTTTTCTTTTGTCAGACAAAACAAAGAAATTCAAAGTATAGAAAAAGTTACATTTGAAATCAAATTTTTTATTCAAATTGATCCAACACTTGCATCAAGGAAAATTAGCAATGTAATTTTTTCATTTTAAGTTTGGTAAATTCTGCCTAAATAAATCTTGATTGTGTTCTATTTTGTTATTATTATTATTTTTTTCTAATTTTTCTTTGTGGAGAATTACGCATCCTAGATAATGCTACATAACTTTTTTTAAGCTTTCCCTGTATGATTTTTAGTGTATTTGATGCGCTATGATCTTTAAGAAATGTCTGATTTTGATAAATGGGTTATCTTTCTTTTGTAATAACTACACTTTAAAAAAATTAGTACAAACCTTGCAGGATCGATATGTAAAATATGTATAAGTCTCTTCCTTTCTAAATATCTTAACTTATAAGTTTGTGATCCTCAATTTCATGAAGTTTATATTATCACTACCATTTTATTATAGGGAACTGGTGTTTCTACATAAAAAGGGTCATTAATAAGACTTTGAAGATAATTTGGCTTGATCTTATTGTAGTACTGTTCTATTATTAAACTGTTTTCATTCTTCATTATCTATTATAGGTTTTTTACTGTAATATCTTGATAAATTGAAACAATTGTACTGTTGTCATCATTGTTGGGAGTTAAATCACTCCTTGTTAAACTATTTTATATACTTCTAATTCATTATTTTTACGCATTGTTATTAAGTTAAATGTAATAATTAAACATAATATTTAATAATCATAACTAAAATAGTCATATTTAAAAGCATTAATAATAAATGTGATTGGCTTACCGCTAGAGGGGCAGAGTTGATCATACCGCCAATCAAATAATTAAGGAAGAATAAAGTATAGGAAGAAATCTGGTGGGTTAAGCTGGTTTTCCTTCTGTTAGAATATATTTTTGCATTGAGGGCCCTTTTATGTTGCTTGTTGTTTTTAAACGTTAATACAGTTTTTGTTGCTTTTTACTTTGATTTATTTTAAACCCAGATTGAGGATTTGCAAGTTCTGATATTTTTTATATGCTGTTGCGACATTTAAATTTCACATCACGCAATTAAATACATCACTTTTTGACTCACTTTATTTATGCCAATTTTATTGTAAATACAAAAGGATCTTGATAATTTTTTCGGTACTTATTACTACGCTACGCTAACATTTCACATCTTTTATCTCTGACAAGAAGACTGCAACTTTATATTTAACCACCAATGAGGTTAATTATTATCAGTAATATGCAAACCTAATTTTTTCGTCTATGGAGTCATAGATTTCAGAGTCAGCATATAGTTACATCTGAGCATAAAATTTGATTCTTTATAATACTGTGAAAACTATTTTTATTAGTTTACTTTAATGAGTGAAAAGTTATCAATTGTGATAATCCTTAGTTATTTCATCGCAACTCTTTCCTTTTTACTTTCATTCAGTGGTGTAGCTAGTGGGGGCAAGAAGGGTACTCCGAATTCATGTAATTAAAAATGAATTTCAGGGTAAAATGCTTTTCACTATTTAATATAACCAGTTTTATTTGCCAATTGCTGGCCTCATAATATCTTCTTAAAATTTGCATTTGATTTACCGAAAAATTGAATAGGATGTCTATTAATACTATAGTTTGTTTTGAAAATAGGTTTGTTTTTTTTAAATTATTTTTAACAAATTGGCAATATGTTGAGTGAAAAATGTCTTTCGAAAAAACACTTCTCATTCAATATAAAACTATAAGTACAATCATATAAGGGTAATAAAAATTACATTAGTATCATACACTGTTAAATTTTAAAGTGATTATAACGAACACTTAAAGAGTTATGGTATCTTAAAAATCATTATAAAATTATGGAATCTTATTCAGTGTTAAATTTTAAATTTAAGAAGAAAAAAAATCAATGCCAAGTGCAGTTAATTTTAGTTTTTGATTACTTACAACTTAAAAGGGTCCCAAGCACCCCTTTTTAAGTCATACACTATATTATAAGATGTGGAAAATCTGAATTTGCCCCTAGCTATGCCTCTACCTTCATTTGAAACAAATAAGAAAGAGTGTTAATATAAAAAAATTTAAGAAATAAATACATTTTCTTTTTTATTTCTATTTGCAACAAAGTATATAAGGGAGCAATAGTGGCTCAGGTAATCGAGCAATCGTCTCCCAAAGAGGTAATCCGCGTTCTAATCCCAGTGATGGCAGTGCTGACGTAAAATATCCTCGGTGATAGGCGCTTCATGCCTTAGATTCCTCTTCCTGTCAGGGTAACCATGGGAGGTTTTTGTAATTTTTCATGTATTGCAAATGCAGGTTAGTTCCATTAAACAGTCCTCCACGAAGGCATATTTCTCTTATTACTTGATCCAGGAATCCCCTTGTCTTCTGGATTGGGTTGAAAATTACAAGGCTACGGAGTTGAACATTAATAGTCGTAAACTTAAAATTAGGTGGTTGTTTAACGACGGTTATAAAATAAAATTATATATAGTCATTGTTTAAAGTAAGAAGAAATTTGCAAACAAATTGGAATTTCGAAGAAATTTTTTTTTATTAAGTTTACAAATAAAAATTGCCTTTTTAGACTGTCAAAACATTAATTTTTAGTACTGCAAAGCAGGTGGCATGGCATTTCTTACTCTTAGTTTACCAGTTTTAGTTTATAATTATGGAACTGATTATTACACGTAAATTTTTTATTATACTCTCTGTAAATTTTTCTACATCAGTATTCAAAATTGAGTCTTATAATTTTCACACATCAGACAAATTGTAAAACAAAATTGAACACTCATAACAACAACAGCTCTTAAAATTTTTTTATATGGACCCTAGAAGCAATATTTACTTGGGCCATCATCGAACCAATATTCACACATCTGGGCTCAATAAAGGTTTAAAGGGTCATTATTTTCCGATTATGGCCCTATATGGAATTGCCCGATTCACCCGATGTTTTATATTCATTATTTAGCCAATATAGGTCAATATTGGCCCTATATAGGACCAATATTTAAAAAAATCTAGACATCCCAAAGTTGGTTCCTGGGTGCATGCTCATATGGGATCCATATTGAGACAATTTTGAGTCCAACTATGGCCAAGGTAAAACTATTGAAAGGGGATAGATGTTGCATGAAATAATACTGAAATAAATATAATTTTAATTCAATGTTTAAAAAAAATGAATTGATATGTTTCTATTTAAACATTTTTACCCTCATCCCTAAATAATTGATACTTTAAAGCGAAGTATAACTATAAATGAAGTTATGAATGTTAAGTGGAAAAAACAAATATTAAATGGGGAAAAAAGTAAATTAAATTGACCTGTTCTGTTTCTTTGTCAAACATTTTACTGAACAATCAAATGAATCTTGAATCAAATTAGAGCTTGAAGCTGAAATCAGCATTTATCTCCTGCATTTTCTTTCAGATCAAAATTTTAATTAATTTATAAGGAAATTGTTTTTATTAACAAAACAAGATTTTTTTTAACTTTCTGCTTACAGTCGACATTAATTTTTTGTTGTATCTAGTTACAAATTTTTGTTGCATATACTGTCTTTTTTTTTTTTTAATTTTTTAAATATTGCTTTTAAAATCTGCAGAATGACTTCAAACTAAGTAAAAGCCAGTGTCTTCTCAAGGATGGCAACTTCTATACAAGCCTGCTTTCCTAGCAGCTGCAAGAATCAGCATCAAATAAAAACTGTTTCTAAAAGTCCTAATGTAGTTCGTCGTTCTAGTATGCGACAGCAAAATGCAGGTGAGTGTATTGCATGATTTTAAACTAGGTAAATTATTATGTTTTGCTTTGACTAATAAATTAAAAAAGCAATAAATAGTAACACATGGAATGTAGCGTTTTTAAAAAGTGATTAACGGTGCTTATTTTTGATTTTCGTTATTTAAAAGCTCTTAAATGTGCTTTTTTTTATTGAGTTTTTTTAAAAAGTGCTTAATTTTTCCGTTTTCGAAAATGAAATTTTTTTCTTTACCTTGTCAATTTTTGACGCATATTATGTATAAGTGTGCTTTTTATAATGCTCTATTCAACGTTTTTACAATTCATTCAACCATATCATACCGTCGGTCCATAGTGTATGAAAGCGCCAATCAGTTTACATGTTTGATGAAATACTTGCGAGTCCGTATGACCTTCTACTTAGCTGGGTTCAATGAGATTATTATACTCTAATGTGCAACTCTGCTGCATTTTGCCAGATATTCTCAATTTCAGACTTCATTTTCCACCCTCTGATATCGAACCGAAAAATCTCTTGATCATTTTATAATGGCTAATATAATCAAGAAAAGAATTCTTTGTTAGAAACTAGTTATTTTATCATGATCATGTAAAGTCTTTGAAAATTATTTTGCATTATGCTTATGTATATAGTGCTTTAAAATAATTTTTGAGTGCTTATAAAGTACTTCAAAGGTGCTTATTTTTTCTTGAAAGATTTGGCTACGCACCCTGTAACAGTAATTTCTTAATCAGATATTTAAAAAATTTAAAATATGTATTTTAGTCAGTAATCTTAATTTGAATATACAATATCATAGACATGCTGATAGAGTACATCTAATTTTAAACTTAATTTAAAGCTTAAAAATTGATAATTTCATAGTTCTTATAATTTGATTTACTTCTTTAATTTTTCTACACACTTATACCTTAATTGCTGCTTTTAATCTCTAATTCGGAAATAACTTTGTTTTTTATTTATTAATCTTATATATTTATTTTGCAGGTAATATATATTTCATTGCTGCATAGCTATTTGCCAATTTAAAACTATATCTGTAACCTGCTTAACATGGATTAAATAAAGAATATGTAATTTGTTTAAAGTTTCTAATGTTAAAAAAAAATATCTGCTATAAGCAACAGCATGTTCAATATTTTTTTAAGCTATAGAATGTTTCTTTCTCTAGCTATTGATTGACGCAGATTGTAACTATATATAAATTTATATGTAACTAAATTTATTTAACATAATACCTGATTTAAGGAGACCCTGCGTTAAACAATGAAATTTTAAATGTTCAATGTTAAAAAGCCTAGATAGAATTTTATAGTTATAAGCATAATTTAAATTAACAAATGATTGATCTATATCTATTGCTGCTCTATTATTCAAATGCCTGTATGAGCTTTAATGAGTTGATATTTTTATAGAATCTGCCAGTAATGTGAAAGAATCATGTATTTTACCAAAAAACAGCTAACTTTTCTGGAATCAATAGATGTTAATAATAATCTATTTTATGCAATACATTTTATAAGGTGTACAGTAGCAGAGGTTCAAAAAAATTTTAGTTATTGTACTGTGTGCAAAAAAAAAATAAACGGACCACCCTGAATAACTTTTGATTTAATATTTGGATCTTCATGCTCAAGGGGGTGACCTCATACATGCTAATCAATTTGTGCAGACAATATTTTAAGTTACAAAATCAGAAAGAAAAGAAAAATGTACTTGCTCAGAATAAACATACCTTTTCAATGGATTCAGATTTCTGTCCACCAAAATATAAGGGATAGCCGCAATCTGTGAAATTTGGTCCCAATAGTTTGGTCTGGAGAGTGGTCCAAAGTTTGACCATCTTAATGTTGATTTTACTTTTTGCATATTTCACTGTATCTTGAGAACTTTTTAAACAAATTGCAACATTTTTGCGCAAAATTAAAAAATATCTTTATTCAGAGATAATTCCATACAAAATTTAATTTTTAGTAGGTATTTGTTATTTTTCATTATTTTTTTAGTCAAAAAATGTTGAATAGTAAGGTATGCAAATTTTTCCATAATTTTAAAGAACACAATTTTTAATCACAAAACCCAAAATTTGTGCGAAATTGGTCAATAGTTCCTAAAAAATCAAATTTTAAAAATATGGCTTTTTAAGAATTCACTCTTCTCAAGAACTATTTAACCGATTTGCCTGAAATTTTGTATTTTGCCATTTAAAATGATGTTAAAATTTGTACAGCTTACAACTCAAAATTTTATGTAAGTTATATTTTGCATGCAATTATCTTTGGTTAAACGAATTAAGTAATTGTGTGTAAAAAAAAATATATTTTCCTAAAAAGGTATAGTGAAATACATAAAAAGTAAAATTAACATTAAGGGGTTAAAACTTTAAACCGCTCTACGGACCAAAATATTGGGATCATACTTAGAGATTACAGCCACCCCCTATATTTTAGCAGTCATAAATCCAAATTCGTCAAAATAAAGGTACATTTATTCAGAGATAGAACATTTTTGTGCCTGATTTCATAATTTAAAATATTGTCTGTACTAATTAATTAATGTATTTAAGATCATCCTTTAGAACCATTAAGATTGAATCCTAGAACAATGATATGATCATTAGATCAAATGTTATTCAGGGTGGGTTTTTTTTTTTTTTTTTTTTTATTTTTTTTTTTTTTTTTTTTTTTTTGTGCACTGTAGAAATTTTTTACATTTTCTACTTCATATTTTTATAATATAGTTTTTATTTTAAACAATTTTTGTCTACTAATATTTACCAAGACAATTTTTTTAACAATTACATTCTCTATTATAAACAAGTTAGACTTAATGTGTGTATGTGTATAATACTTTTAGGCATTGCATTGAATAAATAGGCACTTAATTTTTCATTTTTAGTGAAACATACATTATTTATTGGTGTAAATATTGAAAGTCTGTTGGCATGATTTAAATCTTGATTAAAATTACAATTTAAATAACTTAAATTCTTTTTCTTTCTTTTTTTNAAAAAAAAAAAAAAAAAAAAAAAAAAAAAAAAAAATTTTTTTTTTTTTTTTTTTTTTTTTTTTTTTTTTTTTTTTTTTTTTTTTTTTTTTTTTTTGAGAAAAAAAACCATTCATTGAAATCAGTTGTGATGTTTTTTAAATAATCTTAATTTAAACAAACTGAACTTTTTTTTAAAAAAAATATTGATTTAAGTGTAAAATATTATTTATGCAGTATAATTGATAAATAAATTCTTTAAGATATAACTTTTTTCATAAGTCTGATTTCATTAATAATAAAGGTTTTTTATTAAGAAATGATGGAACGTTTTTTATTAAGAAATGATGTAAATTATTATATTTTAAAATAGAATTTCTAAAAAAAAGGAACTGCATTGATAAGAGAGGCATGAAACTTAAATAATTTTCTGTTGAATGCATGTAAAATAATTTGCTCTTAATATGTGTTTAAGAAATGTGCTTTAATTATTCCCATTCAGTTTTATGTTGGCTTGTTTTTCACAGAGTAACTTAAAATAATTTTTTTTCAGTAATGGTTTCTGTTCTTAACTAATTTATTCTTCTTTAGTTATCGAATTGAAAAATTGTCTCTCAATCTTTAACGTTCATTAAGAAGTTGAGCTTCTAAAAATTAACTAAGATTTTATTAAATAATAATTTTAACCATTTTAGTAAAAATTTAAGTTGTAAAATTTTTTTTGATATTATTAGGTAAGTATTATTAACACATTATAACAGAGGATTTGGTTGGTAAATGTAAAAAAAAATTTTTTTTTAAAAAAGTCAGTTTTTTTATCATTATAATTTTTTCCAACTTTGTTGGAAGTATGTTAAGAATTAAACTTGTCATTTCTTATAGTCTCCAATTGCTCCTTATAATTTCAGATTATTTTTTTTTTAAACTTTCGGTTTAATTAATTTTTTTTGTGGTTTGATAAATAAGATTTTAAATCAAATTATCATCCTCTAATCAAATTCTGAATAAATTAAATTAGATATTTTGTAATTGGTCCCCTAAAATTAAAATATAATAGATAAAAATGTGTGAAAAAGAACAAAAGATTGTTTAACCTTATGTAATTAATTTTTTTTATAGATCAATATGTAAGTAAAGTTAACTTGTTATGTGAAGTTAATTTAAATTTCAATGAAATAAGCAATAATACTTATGGAATGTGTTCTTGATTAATTTATAAAAATTATATCAGTATATTTTATGTTCTGGTTGTGTTCTTAACAATTGCAGTTAGAACAACTTAGTCAAGCATTTTTATATGCAAAATAATAAAATTTTTGAAGTGAGGCTCTTTATTTAATAATAATGGCTTCCTTTTGCAAATTAAAAGTATGTTAGTTCAAATTATTTTGCATGTAAAGCCAACATCTAAAGCTATTGGGCACTAACTTTGAAATCATAGTAGAGACTAAAATAATTTGATCCATATTTTGCATTTTTTTTTTTTTTTCATTTGTGAAGCAAATAGATGAAAAGTGTATGACTTATTAACTAAATTGAAACATTAGTGCTTTTACCAGTAATTTCTCATCACACATGTAGTGTATCTAAATTTTTTATATATATTTTTAATTAACAATATATTAAAAAGTATTTATTCTCTTTAGCTAATAGAAGAAGTGCTGTTGAAAGGTTGGAAGAAAGCAAAGCTAATTATGTGAAATCGGAACGTGTGCTGGACACAAAGCAGGAATTTAAAAGTAGTTCACATCTCTGCATTAGCACTGGCCCTCAGTTAGACATATTATTTAAACAACCACCTCCAAAAGTTCCACCTGATTGTGTGAAAGCTTTTAATACATCTGATGAAGTAAAAGTTTCATATTTAAGACTCCAACCTCAGTCTTCTCAAACTAATAAGTCACCTCCTACTTTACGGGCCAGAGCTAAGTCACATTCTGAATCTAGAGAGTCTCAAATAACTCGCAAGCATTCTTTTGCTAGCCAAGGAGGTAGGCATCACAGAATTGAAGTTCTTATCGATATTGAGTCACAGCTCAAACGCCTTATTGTGTCAGGTTCTAGAGAGAACATTTCTGTTTCACAAGACTCTGTTAACTTTGGTACTGCTCAAGCAGAAGTGACGCCCAAAGTCTGTAGAATTTCCGAAGTACCTAAAGTGAGAAGGGGTTATTCTGATCCTGTTAGAAAAAGTTGTTGGGTTCAACAAGACCTTTCGCCAGACTGTTGTATTCATAAAAGCATGCCAGATTTGTCACCATGTAATGCTCAAATTCCTTGCTCCAGTTTATCAACAGTTGGTAATTCTATTAAAGTACTTGCTCCTGAAAGTTGTGAATCTGTTACGTATGCTGTTCCAAAGTGGAATGCTGTACCTGTAATTAAAACTGAGCCTGATCTGGATGTTACTGATTCTTATCAAGAACCCAGAAGGTTTTCCAACGGAACAGGAGTTTTACACCTTACCCCTTACTATTCGCCTTCAAGTCCACTTAGAAGGCCTGTGAGCCGCTCTAAATCGGATGTTTCTCATAGATACACTAAAAGGTCTTCGGAATATTTTCCTCGTAGAAATAATTACACATCTGCAGAAATAGAAAGGTTTTTCGATACAATGGGACTTGATGCTACTGCTTGGCATCATATCACATCACCATCACTAGTTTCTAGTCCCCCATGCTTTTTTGAAAGTATAAGTTCAGTTGATTCAAATGAAGTAAGATCAAGTGTCTGCAGTGATGATTCTATAGCAGATGTACCAAAGGAAGGCCTCCGAAATCATGATCTTAGAATTCATGGACCCTTGGAAACTTCTATAGTTGAAAAGAATGCCCGTGTTATCAAATGGTTGTATAATTGTAGGAAAGCTGCATATGAATCGTGACTACTTGTACATAATTATGTTTTTTTCCATGTCTTTCATAAGGTTAGCATTTGTTTATTCACTCTTTATTTTATATTTTTATACATTTGATAATTTTTTAATTGTAAATGATTATCGAACTCGTTCCTGATATATTTATTTTTAATACAGTGATCGGAGTTTATGATATTGTGATAAAGATTTGTATACCAAATCTTAAAACTTCCCTTTTTTAAAAGCGGTTTTTTATTTCTTCTTTTAACTGATTTAACAAAGTTTTGCATAATTTTTCATTCCTTCATTGATAATGTTTGTACATTCTATATAGTGATGCGACACGAGTTTCTTGTTATAAATTATCTGGCATTATTTATGAAAAATAATAGTTAGTATTTCTTTTACCTTTACTTTAACTTCTATTAAGTTATACTTGAAAAATAATTTCATCATAATATATAATCATTTGATATCATAAAGCTTAGTCCAGTTCAAGGAGAAAGTACAGCATACTATATTTTGATATTTAGGTTAAAATTTTAAACAAAAATACAAATGTATTATGGCCAATCATAATATTTGAATCAAATTTGTGTTATTTCCCTATGTTTCCATGCTATGGATTTTAAAAACCTATGATCATCTTGCTACTAGCAAAACTCAAATCATGACCTTAAATTGTTTTATTTCAACTTGCTCGATTTATGGCACCTCTCGCTGGAATGTCAAAGACTTTTCAGCAGTTAAGGCCATTTCATATTGTTTTTAAAATCTCTATATTTTTTATAATTGTATTTTGACAAGCGAATTGCCTATTGCTCATTTGAAAGCTCATTTTCGACACATTTAATTCATAACAATTTTATTTTTATGCGAGGTGGTTTAATCAATCTCTTTTGTTCAGCAATTATTATTATTAATTTCCCAATGGCTCTTAAAATTAAAATTTTTTAAATACAATATTATTATGACACATGAAAAAAGTGTTATTTTCAGTGTCTAGCACTATTCCCATTCTTCTAAGTTTCTCTACTTTAAATGGGAATAGTGTTAGCACTCTAGGCCTTAATATAGGAAAAATCAGATTTTTTTTTTTTAACCAATATTTCTTATGTAAATTAAAGAGTGAGCTATTCTTATCTATCTTATAATGAAAAGTTCAGTGTTTTCATCATAGAAAAAAAAAATTGGTGAGAATTTCTCACCCTTTCTCAAAAACAGGGTGAGATTTCAAAAAGCTAAGTAAGATTTCTAAAAATTAAAAAAAAAAAAAAAAAAAACGCAAAGAGACTTGAGAAAAATCATTTCTTTAATTATAATGCATTTTTAACATCTTCTCATTTTTAAAACATTGAATATTTTTGCTGCATCATCATATGGAAAATGTTCTACAGCTACTTTTTCATCAGCTATTCTCATTAGGTTGCTCAAATGAGTATTTGTTTCGTTTTGATCGTTTCTACCCACATTTGTTTCATTTTTATGTGTCCATTTCGTAGTAGAAGATATTGCCTTTACAACGTATTTGTCCATCTTACATTAATGCGCAAAAATTTTTAACGTCTTACATGAAGAAACCTTACCTACGGTAAGCACGTGGTTGCAGAGAAATGAGTTCAGAAAGAGGTTCCGTGGTTCGGAGGGAAGGTGTTCTGATGTTCTTAAAGGTTCTAAACAATGCTGGTAAATAGGGAAGCTAGATAATGGGGCAGATGTTGAAAATAATGAAAGATCCATTAAGAAAAGTGAAACGGATTTTATTCTAAATGGCGCAATAAGAAATTTTTTTCAAAATGCGAGAAATTCGGGAATTTTGAAATTGGTTTATAGAATGCGCAAATTCCTTGCAGTAATCATTGTTTAATGCGAGAAAAGAAAAAGATATGCGAGATTCTCGCACTGTAGTGNTCATTTCTTTAATTATAATGCATTTTTAACATCTTCTAATTTTTAAAGCATTGAATATTTTTGCTGCATCATCATATGGAAAATGTTCTACAGCTACTTTTTCATCAGCTATTCTCATTAGGTTGCTCAAATGAGTATTTGTTTCGTTTTGATCGTTTCTAGCCACATTTGTTTCATTTTCATGTGTCCATTTCGTAGTAGAAGATATTGCCTTTACAACGTGTTTGTCCATCTTACATTAATGCGCAGAAAATTTTAACGTCTTACATGAAGAAACCTTACCTACGGTAAGCACGTGGTTGCAGAAAATAAGTTCAGAAAGAGGTTCGGAGGGAAGGTGTTCTGATGTTCTTAAAGGTTCTAAACAATACTGGTAAATAGGGAAGCTAGATAATGGGGCAGATGTTGAAAATAATGAAAGATCCATTAAGAAAAGTGAAACGATTTTATTCTAAATGGCGCAATAATAAATTTTTTTCAAAATGCGAGAAATTCGGGAATTTTGAAATTGGTTTATAGAATGCGCAAATTCCTCACGGTAATCATTGTTTAATGCGAGAAAAGAAAAAAAAATGCGACATTCTCGCGCTGTAGTGAAAACACTGAAGTTAATGTTTTTTGATTTTAGTAAAATTATTTATGATAATTTTCTTTTTTAAGCATACGTTTTCAGTCCATCTATATATATTTTCTCTTATTGTGCAGATTTTGTTGACCAATTTTGATATTTATTTTTAATTATTAAATTCTGCATTTAATTTTTTTTTTAACTTCAAATCAGTGGACATGTCGCCTTTTTGCTTTAAAAATTTCAGCCTGGAATTAATCTCTGGAATATTGCTGTAGAATTCTTTTCTTTTCAATTTTTTTTTTTTTTATTTAATGTTTTAGCTATCAAACACAGAACTTGAGTAGTAAATTCTATTTCTAATGTCCTTGAAAAAGATCTCTTATTCTTAGGGCCCAAGAATTAGAAAACAATAGCAGGTTGGCCTGAAAAAGGCTTCTTGAGAAAGAAAAGCTTCTTCCTGGTTTGTCACACCATGAAGGAAGGAAGGAATCCTTAGAAAGCTTATTTCCCTTTGAAAATAAAATTCTTACTTTTGTATAGTGAGGTTTTGTTTCAATATCAACTGAATTCTTTTTAGATCAACAACGAAACTATGCACAATTGAACATTTTTTAAGGAAATGTTTTTTTTTTTTTTTAAATAACGACAAAATTGTTTACTTGAACCCCCTTTTCAAAAATTGCTCCAATGTCGATGTGTCGCGATGTCATTTCTGCTAATACGCCAATTTTTGATTAAGGGAAACTTATTTAAACTTTATTAAAATTTACTTGCTGTAATGTTTGAATTTAGAATGCAATTATTGCTTTAATATTGAGAATTTTTATTTATTTTATTAACTAAGGTATAAGCATTTTTTCAAGATTTGTAGATGATTACTGATAAGCAATCTTTGCTTAAAATTCTTTAAAATGCTGACAAATATTTAAACTCGTGAGTTTTATTTATAGGTTTATTAATATGTAGCGTAGTTATATATTTAGTATAATACAAACAAATAGTATGACAAAATAATAGTGATTATTTTTTATTAGGAGTGCATATATTTTTCATTTTTCTCACGTTTTTGATTTTATTAGTGTTTTTTGTCTATTACTATTATTTTAGTGCTTCTTTAACGGAAGTACTGTGTTGTTGTAAGCATTATTCTTTAGAATTGTTGCTGAAGAAAATCAGAGGAAACTCTTTTTCTAAAAATTACGTATAAACCCTACGGAATAGTAACCTTTGATATATGTATGCCCTTGACATGTTTATACCCATGTTTTAATTGCTGCCTTAGGATTGAGCTTCTTTTGAAATGTTATATATTACATAACTTTTTTTAAATACCTAAAACTTATAAAGTCTTAGAAGATTTTTATTTTTAGTTTAAAAAATAGAGTAGGAACCTTAATTTACTTACAAGTGAAATTTTCTTAGTTTGAATGTAATGGTGCCGATGCAGTTTTATATTTAAATAAATTAAAACTATTAAATAAATAATAAGTAATGTAATTAAATAAAATTTATTGCTGATTTAATTAATTTATTATATAAATAATCTACTTTATCTATTGTTTTATTAATAATTTAATGGAGTTTTTTTTATAAAAAATTAAATTATTCAGTTTCATTGTTTAAAAAAGTTGTAATGGGGCAAGGATCTAACCTCAAATATTGTGATTAATTAGTGTGGATGTTTTAAGCTAAAAATCTGCCACAGAAATGCTCTTTGTCTGAATAAACTTACTCTTTTTTTTTTCAATAAATTTAAATTTTGCCTAACCTGTTGTATTCTGGAATATAAAGGCCTGAATAATCAGGAGTGCAGACAAAAGAATATATCCAATAATGTTAAATTTACTTTCTAAACATTTTACTGTATCATGCGAACTGAAGCTAATTTTTTAAAAAAAAAATTTCGCTTAAATACAAAACTTGTTTATCTAAAAACAATTTTTAAGATTATTTAACAAAATATAACTTTAAATGTTTTTTTTTTAATGTAGAAAAAAAGTAACATTTTCATTTCTCAAGTATATTTTGCACACTGCACATACAACCCTTAGGCTTTAAGTTTCTCAATCCTCATATTACTTATAGAGTCCTTATCTTTATAATAATCTTTTTTTTCTCATTTAATGATATTTAAATTTTAATTTATCTTTCATGCTTTTGTATTTGATCTTATAAAGTTTTTTTTTTTATTCTAGGTTCATTTGGTGCTTCATTTGCTGGCTACTAAGAAGACCTAATGCCTTACACCAAAAACTGTTTCATATTTTAAGTGGATGCACAAAATTTTCATTGTTCTGCCAGGTGCAGAATTACTAAGATCATTGCTCATTTTTTGTGATAAATGTGTTATTCGACACATGTACTTAATGCAAATGTCTTTTGTAAAGGCCCTTTATCAATAATGCATGGTGTTTTAAATTAACATTCTCCATTTAATGATCATAAATTTACTCTTCCCCTGTTAATCCTTTTTATATTTTCTTCCATAACTATTTTCATATTTATGATTGTTGCTTGTTTTAGTAACTTCCTGCATATCATTTTCAACGTATTTCGTTAGAACTTTTTTCTAAAAGCAATATAAAGCAATATTTTGAATTTTAATTTCATTCAGAGCCAAAAGTACTTGATTTAATAGCATTATTATACTATACTGGTCACTATAGTAATATTTGATTGGGAGTTAGTTATGTTAAATTAAAAGTTTACTCTTTTATTAATACTGTGAGTTTTTAATTGGAATATGTTGATAAAGAAAATAGAAATCAATAAGTAGTAAATCAAGCTCAATTAATGATTTTATATGTATTTGTTACATTTATTACATGTTACAGTCATTTTAAATTAATTATATTTGAATTAGACATTAAATGTATGAATTTAATAGAATTAATTTATTATTGGGCATGATTTTAATTTCCAAATGATTTAAATTCCAAAATTTTTTGGAATTATTTGTTACTTTTAGCTACACAAAAATTTTCCATAATAGTTTTTCTCCTTTTTTTTAATTTTCCATTCTTTTTATCTTTTAATATGTTGCTCATTTCAACCGAATTTTAAATGCGCCTGAATAATATTTTGGAATTCTAATAGTTAATAACATTTTTGTGACGATTTATGTATTTTTTGTGTTTGTTTTGCAATCATAATTTTGTTTTTAAATTACATCAACAATCTAGAGTTTATATTTAAAACGACTAATAATATTTTAATAAAAGTGAAATGTATGTATCATCTCAATTCTTATCTAATTGTTTATTGTAATGTCTCAAGAAAATAATAATTGACTCAGAATTAAGTTTGGTTTATTTACCAACCTTTGAATTATTAATGTACATAATTTATTTAAAATATGTTAATAATCTTAGGGTGCATTTTGAAAGCTAAATGATTGATGACATTATTATTGCAGTATTACTTATTTGCTTATTAAATACATGTAACCTGTATTCATTAATTATATTGCATTAAAAATAGTTTACACTGGAACTAATATTAATTTTTTTTTTTTTAAATCAGTTAGCGTAAATCAAGTGCTTTTAAACAAATTAAAATCAGGATTGATTCCAATCAATGATTTTTAAGAAAAAATATATAGTGATTTTAATTGTGCCAATCTTGACTTTCAATATTTACACCTATTTCAATCTTTACACTAATTGAATTAAAAATATTTTACAGTTAAACTAGGTAATATTTTTCTTGAATAAAATCAGTTTGTTTAGATCAATTGTTTTTAAGCAAATCAAAATCTCAGTTCATTCCAATCAATGATTTTTTTAAAAGAAAGTGATTTTAACCATGCTAATCCTGTCTTTCAATATTTACACCAATAAAATTGTACCCTAAAAATAAATTAAAGTTGTAACCACTGTTTAACATAATTTTACATCAACTGAATTTTTTGTATTTTAGAGACTGACGTGGGTTTGCAGGATTGTTGATTTAGCAGCTTTATTTGGAAAAAAATAAAAAATACATTATTGTTACAAATTTATTTAATCTATCTATTCTATGGATATATAAAATAAAATTAAAATACTTTAACAAATATTGTATAAATTTTACACAAGTAACACAAGTAACAACTTTTAAAAAATATTTATTATTGGAATGTAAAAAGTCGTATGTATACTTGTAATGTATGTATGAGAGATTTTCTTAATAGAGGGAAAGGAAAACTATAAAAGTTTTTAAATATTATGTTTGTTTTTTTTAACTACTTATATTATTTATTGGTAGGAATAAAAGAATTGTTAAAAAGAAAACATCAGCTTTATATATTGCAATGATCAATAAAAAAAGTGTTCTATCCATTGAATTTTAAAATACTATTGAAGGTAAAGCTCGTGTTTTTCTGAAAATATATATATGTATTAACAAGCATAATTAAAAATGAAAGTATGCTTTCTTATAACTAGAGCCCGGATTTTGATGACCTAAAAAATCTCAACTAATGCCCTTAAAAAGTGCAAAAAATGCCTTTACAAATGCAAAAATTGCGCAAAAAATGCCTTAAATAAAGTAAAAATATTGAATTAAAAAAATGTTTTGCTCTTTAAAATTATTGAGTCATTTAAAAATTATAAAGCAATGCAATACTTGTTCTACGATCATTAAAGTTTCAAAAATATGTTTTACATCCTAAAATAACAAAAAAAGAAAAATATATTGACACCAAAATATTTTTATTTTGTATAGAAACTTTAATGGATATAACAACTTCCATCTCATAATATTACTAAATATCAGAATTACATTGGATTATTAAATGTTTTTTGATAATTTGAAATGTAAACGAGCGTCTCTTGTCTGAAAGTAAATTTTCATTCCTGCAGAAGCTTCTTTCAACGTCTACTGATGTTATAGGTGCGTACTTGAAAAAGACGGTCTCACTTACTGACAATTCTTCTTCAATTTGAAAAGATTTTGCTTCACCTGTTAATATTCTATAGATTTTCTTCATTGTTTGGAAGCCAGTGTAATAATGAAAATTGATAAAAAATAGTAAAAATTGGAAAAAATTAACAAAAAACTTTAAAAAATGCATTAAAATGCAAAATATGCCGCTAAATTTAAAGAAAAATGCCCTATAAATCTAAAAAAATGCTCTAAAAGACAAAAAATGCAAATGTCATCAAAATCCGGGCCTTACTTATAACTAATCTGTGTTTTTAATCATTGAACTAGGTTCTCTGTTTTTATCAAATTTGAAATTTAAATTGTACTTAACAAGAAAGCACTCATTAAACTTTCTAAATTTTTATGCTTTTTGTTTTCCATTACATTTCCTACCAATAGCAGAATTTTTTTTCTTTTTAAAAAAAAAGAGAATACGAGTATAATTTAATGTATGAGAATTCTTCTTGAAAAAGTTCTGAATTAATTTACTAAAACATTTAGTCTTTGCAATTAGTGACCATTGTAAAATCGTAATTCATTTTAAATCATTCACAAAACAGGGCAACAATGCAATAAATAAAACTAGTTTAATCTGAAATTGTTTCTAATTGATTCTCAATATCTGTTATGTGTTTTTTGATGTTAATGTCTTGATTGATAATGTGTCATGTCTGATGGATTTTAATATTTTTGGTTGTTAAAAATGAATAATAATCTAAACAACATTTGTATTCAATGTCTCCAACCATAAGTGTTCATCAATTTTTATTAGGAAAATGTAATTCTACACTGCATATTTTATAACAAATTACACTAATTTTAATGAGCTCGATTACCAAAAACATTCAAAATAATTTTTCATTTGTATTTTATTTGTTCCAAATAATTTCCCTGCAGAAATTAAAAGATGTGTATTGGAACTGTTCTTTTTTTTCATTTTGAAACTTAATTTTCAGTCTGAATTCTATGAATATCAGATTTTGCTCTAGAAAGACAAATTTAAAATAATCGGTAGACTTTAAGTACGTATCAAAATAAATTGTAAAGAACGTTTTTTAATTAATTTGTACACAAATATGTTTGCCTCCTTTGTTTTAATTTTTATTTACATGAAAATTTCTCTTGAGTTCCTTCAAATTTCTATTTCTTCAAGTGCTAATTAATCCACTTCATAGATTATCCAAATTTTAAATTCTCTAAATACTGAAATTATTGTTATAAATTTTTAAAAACTCTGTTTTGAAATTAAAAAAAAAAATTATTATTTCAATCAATTATACTATTTACTGCATCTTTAACTTATGTTATTACACTAATGAAAATTGGAAATTTTCTTTAGAAACTTTTACTGCAATATCCCTTATAATTTAAAAGATAAAAATATTTTTGAAAACTAAGCCATTATATACCCTCCTACATTTGAGATTTTTTCGAAATATTTTTTCTAATTACCTAATAGGTAGTGAACTAAAATAGAAATTTTTAAACAAATAGAATTGTTATAAATTTTTAATCAGATTATTAAAATATAGTTGATTGACAATTTGACCTTTAATATATCTGTGTAAATAAATAGTGGTGGGCAAAGTTCTGTATCTTATAATTATTAAAATATTCATTCATTACCTTTAATATCATTAAAAAAAAAAATATTTCTAAACCATGGACATTCGATAGTAATTTGTTTCATAAGCAACCAACGTCCTTGCTTAAATTAATTTCAACTTCTTCTTTCGACAGCTGTTATTTTTACTTTTGTGTTTAAATTTGGGCATTATTGCATTGAAGGGTCCACTTTAGACAAAAAAGGATTATTCTTCCTCCATTTCATAGTCTCAGTTTCCTTATTTAAGTGTATTGGGTTTTATTGAAAATTATAAAGTTTAAAAGAAAAATATTATTTAATGACTGTACTATATCAGACTAATTCCCATATAGGTTATGGAAATTATTTTTTAAAAAGCACTAGTCTGTCTAGGTTAAGCAATATTTGATTTAATGTTTTCAATCCTTTTTCCCATAAACTTTTAATCAATAACTGTGTTTGAATAATTAGGAAATCTAATATTAAAACTATAACTTAAGTTGACCGTACCTGTTGGATGCACATTTTGAAAATAACTAATATTTTGTGAAATTAGAGATATATACTACTATTTCCTGTTAAAGAAATTTTACTTTGCATGCCTTGTCATGTAATACCTTGAAAAGGTAGCTTGAGTACCACATTAAATTAAAAGGAATTATTTAGATAATAATAACTAAATATTAAATGTTATAACTAAAAAATTATGATTAATCTTAATTTTTTAATAAATATTAAAGATCTATTTTATGAAATATTTCTTTCTGTAACATGTAATGGATGTTTTGAATGTTTTTAAAATTTTCAAAGTGTCAGTTGTTAAAGTTTCGTCTGGTTACATTTTGAAATGCACTATCTCCTATTGTGTTCAATGCTCAATTAAATTTAATTTCTTGGTTAAATAGAAAACAATTTTGTGCACATAAAACCAAGAATATAGTGATAACGTTAAGAAATCTATGCAATTTACTTAGTTGCCACTGAAAAGACTAATCTATTCAGAGAGAAAACTGAGACAATATAACAATATATAGTTAATGACTTGAAGATGCTTTGTGACACAAACTATATTGCTGAAAAAAATTTTAAGTTATTGTACAGTTAGTTCAAGGACTAGCAGTAATAAAGTATTTGACATTTTTATAGGTATTATATTTTCATAATTAAAAAAAATAGGTGTAAATTATTTTAAATAATTGTCATTAAATTGCAGATGGTTTTCTTTTGCAAACAAAAAGTTGTGTGTGTGTGTGTTTTTTTTTTTACTCACTTTGTAAAATGCAGGTTGTTTCTTCAATCACATCCAAAGCTAAAAATAATAGTGATATTTCCTCTGCTTGTGCAATTGAATGTTTTCCTTTGTGACAGAAATGTTTCACTACTTTGTTTTTAAGAAAGTTATAAATGATAACTGTTTTATTAAATAATCTTAAATTTAAAATTTATTTAATATTTGATACAAGTCTATAATCTGATTAATATATTTTACATTTGATAACCATGTTTTGAATTTTCTGCATATTTGCATAAACTAATTATGAAATATAATATAAATTATTATCAAATTGCTGATCAACTCATACACCATAATGATTCTCTTCTTTTTTCTTAGCTTGCAACAATTGTTTTAATATTCTTGTGAAAGTTATACTATTGGTAATTTTGTAATACTTTCTACCTTTTATTTTAATTTTAAGCAACTATTTGAGATAAATTTTATCAAATAACATTTTTGTTCTTATTAAAACAAGCTATAACAATAAAAAGAATAGAAGTAACAATTTTTTTTATAGTTACTTGAGGAAATATGACTAACTTGAAATTTTTCTTAAAAAGGGTATTAATATGCACAATTTCATTTTATTTGTAAATATTTTCTTTTTTAAGCTTATGGTGCATACAACATTTTTGTGATCCTTTTAATATTCTATAAACTCTAACCACTCATTTTACCTATTTATTCTTCCAATTAGTTTCAATTTTTATTTATGATGACTTATTTACTTCAATTGACATCTTCAAAATAACTATCATAATCTTAGTTTTAATATTTAGCTGTTACTCACTGTTTATGACTTGTTAGCATCAAATGTGTAAATTTTATTTTATCAGACTTTAATCACCTTAGGAATAATTTATCACTATCGGTAACATGTGTTTCAAAATTTAAGCATGTGCATCAGTTGTGACACATTTTCACACTGTTTATAATTTGTTTGCCTTAAAAATATACATTTTATTTTATACTACTTTAATTAATAAGATTTCAAGAATAATTTCAACTCCAAGAATTCTAAACATTCTTATATCAACTATATATTTGTATATGTAATTATTTGATTTTAAATTTTCACAAAACTTATTTGTTATCTATGAGTCTATTTTTGTTTATACAAATTTTTTAAACCCAAAAATGAAAGTCCATAAAAATGTTAATAATATAATTTTTTTCTTTATGTTAAATATATTAATGAGTGTAATAATTCTGAAGAAAAAAATTTTAGCAGTTTGTGTATATTTCTCACGTTGTAATTTTAGAGAGCTTAGATAATTTTCTTTGTTTTATATAGAATGTAAAGAAGTCTTCCTAGAATAGCTTAATTTATATATCAGAAGATTCTTAAATTGGCCTTAAAGTAAACATATCGATCTTAATTCTAGTACTATTTTAGAAAAATTGCAACTTGGTGATTTAGAATTAATGTTTAGCTAATTTGTATTCCAACTTTAGAGTGAAGTTTTTAAATTAAAGAAGATGGGAAATCAGAAAGTGATTGCTAAATTTTTTGTATTGCTTTATGAAGTTGTGATCCAATTAAAATCTTAATATCTTTGCATAAATTTTATTTTAACCTTTGTTATTGAATCAAAACTAATTTTTCTTTCACTGAATTTGTAAAACTGAATTTTTTCATTAAAAATATACATCTTGTTTTATACTACCTTAATTATTAAGATTTCAAGAATAATTTAAAAGATTCAAGATGAATTTGAAAACTGAATTCACTGAATTTTTTCCCTTTTACAAAAGTATTAAAAATGTTTTTATTTATTTATTGTATGTGAAAAATAAGAATGCCTGCTAAAATCATAAAGGTGATTTTTAATTTCATGCATAGGTTTTTGAAATTTTTATTTTTCTAATAAGAGACTGTTCAAACGTTATGTAAGCATCTAGCAATATTGAGATTTGTTTATTTTTATTGACAAGATGGTGAAGTAGTATGAGCATTGCTTACCCGTAAACTAAATCCCTTTTAACCGAAAAAGTCCTTTCTGAATTTCAAAAGTAATTAAATTAAGAAAATTTAAAATTTGCTTTTGGAATAAGAAAAAAAAAATCTCATATAAACTTGAGGGGTTCCAGAATCACCAAAAATAAATTTCATAATATTTGAACTGACTCTAATTTTTTTTTTTTGTGCTCAACAGTGTTAATAGTAATAAATCTTATACAGTATATCTTTGCTCAATAGCGTTAATAATGGTAAATCTTTATCTTATATGTTTCATAACAAGTTTCTTCAATATTTTTTCCTAAAGTAATTTATGATTATTGTACTTATTATTCAATACATTTTTTAAAAAAAACATTTAGTAAACTTTATATTCTTCCTAAAATATTTTTTCACATTGAACTTCTTTTTTTTTTATCATATATGTATATAGTGATATGTTAAAGAATTTCCTTTTTATTAATTTACCTGTTTTTTTTCTTAGCAATGCACTAATTTTGAATTATTTATTATATTGATGAGCTAGTCTTTCTACTAGAGAGAGGATGAAGTGTTATTTATTATGTTTGATGGGCGAAGGATTTTTTTTTCTCTGTTATCTTTTGTAAATATAACTTTATAACTAAGAAATATCAACTAAAAATTTGGAAAGTGTTTGATTTGTTAATTTTATTTGTAAATTTTTATGATATTTGTGTGAGATAGAGAAATTTGTGATCTCAAAGATTTGTTATTCAGACAGTGAACTTTTGTATAAATTTAATAAGTCACAATTTTTCAGATTTTTACCATGGAATGTTTGTGATTTTTATGGTGAGTTTTTGAAGCTACACGACGGGTTGTATTTTGTATGCAACTTGTCTAATTGTAATAAAGATTTTGGAAATTCTCTAGGAGTAATACTCATTCTAATGCTTCACATTTTTTTTGAATTTATTTTATTAAAAATTCTACAAATTCTATTTTTATATCTTTAAGTACATTTAATACATGTACAAAGCATCATTTTTGAAGTTTTATAATATTAACTTTTAAATTTCTTATTTACTCAATGTATACTATAATTTCAATTGAAATTATATATTGAGTTATTAAAGGAAAATAGATAGAATTTTATACTGTTGAAACATTTTTAGAAAGAAAGATTTGAATTACATAATCATAATTAGTTCCATACAGTTTGTTTTACTATTTAAACTTAATGAGAAATATTGAAAAGAGGTTGTTATTTTAAATATATTTAGTTTCAAAAAGTAATCAAAAACATCCGGAAATATAACTCCACTTTCTTTTATATTCTTTTGAATAAAATAATAGTTAAATTAAGAAATAAAAAAATTAAAATTTATAAAAACATAAATATTGTATTAAACTGCTTTTATTATGTATGATGCTATCAAAAGGAATTGAAAAATGATAAAGCTATCATAATATTTTTACATTTATGTTACTTCAGTTTAATTTTGCATATCAAAGTAGCTGTTTCATGCAGGAATATATCATTTTTTCCTATTTTAAATGATTTACATTATTAGAACATACTCATAGTTTAACATGCAAATGTCTGTAACATATTTTAAAGTTTAAAAAATTTCTCACTTTCCAAAATGTTCCACAAATATACTTACTATTTTTTTTCTCTATAAATATGCATTTATGACATAAATGTCTCTAAAATTAATCATAGAGATGTTTCGCCTTCATCCCACAAATCTCTCTTGTGTTCTAATGCATCTTGAAGCATTGAAAATATTTCAGGATGCCAGCATCTCGAAAAGTTCTCCTCGGCTTTATCTAAAGCCAACAAGAGACCTTTCTCCGAATCTGCATCACAGTATGCATCAAGCAACAATTCAACAACTTGTGTAAATCCACTTTCCACGGCATTAAGAATAGGCGTAGATCCGCGAATATTTTGAATGGTTACATCAGTTTCTGGAAAATTCACTAGGATTCTGACCATATCGGTCAAACCTTTACTGGATGCGATGTGCAACGCTGTATCTCCATTCAAGTCCAATGCATTCACGTTGCACTGTGCATCCAAAAGCAATCTCACTACTCCCAAGAGGTTTTTCTGTGCACAGTGGTGCAAGGCTGTTTGAAAATGTCTGTCTTTAATGTTAACGTTGGCACCATTTCTGATGAGTGTCTCTGTTTGGCGAACATGACATTTGCTAATCGCACACATTAACACACTCTCACCCCGTTCGTTTTGTGCATTTATTTCATAGCCATTGTCAATAAGAACTTGAAGCGATTCATAATGATCCGAGTTACCCAAAACTAGACGATGCAGCGGAGTTTCTTGTCTTGAACTTCTTACTGAAATATCGGCTTTAATGCACATAGTTTTTAAAGCTAGAAGAAGATCATCTTGTACATCTTTATTCAGCCTAGATGACATCATCTTCGATGCCAAGTGTATTGGAGTGTACCCATTTAAAGTCTCTCGAATATTGACACTTGCACCATGTTCCAGAAGTGCGCTCACTATCTTTAAAGAAAAAGTTTTCGTATTGAAGGCGTTATGCAATGCTGTTTCTCCCAGCATATTTTTCGCATTCGGATCAGAGCCGAATTTCAATAACAATTCTATCATTTCTAAATTACCTTGATATGTAGCTTGTAAGATTGCCGGTCTGCCATTATTGTTCCAAGTTGGTTCGTCTGGTGAAACACCTTCTTTTAAAAGTTCTTCAACTTTGCATAAATCGTTTGCTTTTACAGCATCGTGAAAATGTTGCACTGCTCTATTATCCGCCATTGTTTTATTTGAAAGGAGAAATTCAATTAGATCTTCAATTCGCAGAGAACTCAGTCATTGCTCTTCCTCGGAAAGTTTTCATCTGAAGATCACGGATGAAGCTGACGGAACTGAATGCTGAAGATAGCGATTGAGAAGGGTTTTCCTTCTCTGACATTTTCCCCTATTACGCATAATTTTCCCTTCATCTTCACCTGTTTCTTCCCTTTCCATCATTCTTTTCCGGTTAGGAGAAATGGATGTGACTAAACAATGTTATTTACCCGAAGGCGCATATAAATTAGAATAAACGTGATACGTTTTTATTTGATTTAGTATGAAAGTCTCCGTTTCAGACTTGATTTCATTCACCTTTGCTGAGTCATTTTTGGACTCTTAAATAAGATAATGTTCTTGTAATTTATTGACTATTATTTATGTTTTTTATATAGTTGAAGCTTTTGATATATTTTATAATATTTCTACCCTTTACTTAAACAATATAAAATGCATGTAAAATTAAATTTTTAATTATAAAGCAAATTTTAACTTCATGACAATATTAATCTTTTTTAATAACTTTGATGGCTTACATTTTATCTTAGAGATTCTTTTATATTCACGTGTTCAATTTTCTGAAATTAAGTTGTTTTATTGCAAAATTTCTAGTAATCGAAACAGTTTTAATCTTCATGATTTTAAAAGTTAACTTATGATATGTTAATTAATTAATCTAAACTATCAAAAATAAATTATGAAAATGGGCGCATAAAAGTACTTTCTATGAATTAATTTACAATTTTTTTTCCTTATATGTTGCATTTAGAACTTATACAGTTTAATAAATATCACCCCAATAGTTTTAGTTTGGATAATAGTTAGCTCTAAAAAAATCGTTTACCCAATGATAATTACTCTAAAAAAATATTTTTATCAGTTATTTTATTTAACCATGATTGAAAAAATTTTCGATTATGTTGCAAACTTTTCCTTATCGAATTTACCCACTTTATTTTGGATATTTGCCATACAAAACTACGTAACTATCTTTACCAAAATATAAATTTAAAAGAAATAATTTAATTAGTTTAGAGAATTTTTTATTTCTTAAAAATTTTTTAACAGATTCTTTTCAAATTTTTGCAATTTAAATACTTATATCCTAATAAATAACTATTTTTTTTTCGTTTGAAATTTTCTTAGCATAAAAGGAAAATCTACCTAACACAAGAGAGCGTGCAATATCAAGAATAGCGTACTACCTACATACGTTTTAATAACATTTTCTGGCTATTTTAATTTACCATTAATTTTTCAAATTTTATCTAGCATCTAAGCTGGCGAATTTAGTTATGTTCCTTAATTATACTTCAATTTTTTTTTATTTATTTGGGAAAATCGAAGCATTTGTAAAATTTTAAAACAATGCTAAATGTCTAACAATTATCAGAATTTAAAATTCGCTTTAAAAAAAAAGTTTTTTTGTATTTACTAAAATATTTGCTTAGAAGGCCATTGTGATGTGATGCCATTGGTAAAATTTAAAATAAAAGAGTACTTAAAAGAATATTTCGAAAGAAATTACTATGGATTTATGATCGTTTTTTAACACTTACCCTAAAAAGGGACAGTGAACTTTAAGAAGTAAAAAGAAAATTTAAATTATGTCTTTAATAAATAAAAGGACCTATTTAAAAATGAAATTTCACTTTATTAAAAATATTCTCTTGAACAACCAATATAATTCTACATTTGCATGTACTAATAGCGATATTTGTAGCTTATGTTTTTGATTTAAAGGAAGAAGAGAAAATCTCAATTTTTGTTTATATTTCACGTCATGCTTGAGTCATTCCCTTGTCCAAATTTCAAGGAAATACCTCAAAGGCGCTCTGAAATTATCCACTTAAACGAGATAAGTCAAGGTTACTCAGAACACTGTGGTTGGTTTGTAAACCCTTAACAGTGCATTTCCTCTCTGATTAAAAGAAAACCTATGTTATTAAATTCATTTTCTATTACGATTTTAATTTTTATTATGAGCATTTAAGAGTTCTTTTTTTATCTTTTAACTCAATTTTTACACTTTTTAATAAATTTGTTAAAATTATTTTTAAAATTTTATATAATTAACTAAAAAACGGTGTATAATGAAATCTTGAATTAATGAAATTTTGAGGGCACTATATGTTATTTTAAAAGAATACTCTTAATATAAAGAGAATAATTCTTAATTAACTTGAAAACGATAATTTCTACAAAAAAGAAGACAAACTTCATAAAATTGTTTGCTATAAAATATAATCTTTTTCACTACTATTTGTGGAAAAAGTAAACTATGTATTAGCATCACAGAAGTATGCTTCATCGTCCTGCTGTGGGAATGAGCTAATTAACAACTGGATGATAGGTTAATCGTTTGCTTTTTTAATTGAATTTATGAAATTCTTTTTGTTTTGTTATTTGTTTTATTTAATTCAATAAAATGCTTCAATGTTCCTTCGTTGAAGAATGTTGAGTGTTAATGAAGACCAAGTGGACATTTTTTCTTAGCATCTAAAGTAAATCACAATTTAATTAAAATATTTTAGCTTCTCTCTATTTTTCTTGCTCTTAAATTTATTTCTCTGTTTAATACGCGACATATTTTTGTGTTTGACATGTACTATTAGTTCTGATGGACTGATAGAAGGATTAATGGGTGTTATCTTTTATAAACTATTATTTCTCGTAATTATTACATAAAGACTGTTCGATAAATTATATTCTTTATTCTGTTTATATTATAATTGATCATAGAACAAGAATTAAAAAAAGAAAAAAAAGTATAACAGAGACATTAAATTATAAATCGTAGAGAGTCTTCTCTCCTAATCCACATCATGAGCTAACCATTTCCTTTAAGTCTTGCTAAATGGCTCTACTGTGATTAGATAATAAATAAATTACCGAAAAATGCGCCATGATTATTTCCCAGTAAAGCGGCCGCAAATATTGTTTAAGTTATGAAAACTCCTTTTTTATAGAAAATAAGCAATTTAGTAATAGTAGTCTGTAAATTGTTTAACATAAAAAAGCTAATTTACCACATCCTTATAAAAAATGTGAAGGTAAAATTCACCCTATCCTTTTATTTCATAGCAGATCCAATTCTGAGTTAACGACTATCAATGTATCTCCGTAGCCTTGTGAATTTAAAACCAACCCAGAAGACAAGGGAACTCCTGAATAAAGCATCGGGACAAATTAGCCTTCGTAGAATCCTTGTTGACGAAATTAGCCAACATTTAACATGGAAAGGAAAACCACGCAACACGGGGAAAACAAGCTAACCGTTACAAGGAGAGAGAAACCTCCCACGGTTACCCCGACGGCAAGGGGATTCTAACCGATGATTTGTCAACCACTGATGATATTATACATCAGCACTGCGATCGTTGCGAGCCAGGAACAGAATTCCTATCAACCAGTCGACGCTGGGATTCGAACCTGGGCACCTCATTAGTAGGCGAGAGCTCTATCGCCTGAGCCACCTTGGCGCACCCTATCATTTAACATTTGCTCTCGATGTTTAAAATTAAATAAATTTTATTCTCACTTGAAAATATTTTTTGATTATACTTTTAAATTTTTTCATTATAGTTTAAAATACGCTAAAAATAGTTTGAACTTGAAACTTTGTTTTATTCGAAACTCTATTCCAACTATTAATCGCACCCTGCTTCGAATGCCTTCAATAATTCGTAAGCTTGTTTTCTGCAATTTTGAACCCCCTCCTACTTATTAGCAACAATACAAAACAAAATACAGCGTAATTTTTTTCTCTGCTAAATATATATATATTCTTCTAATTCAATTATTTTTGCAATTCAGTAGTTTTTTTTTTTTTTTTCGATCAAGGAGTTTTAATGTCGTACGTATGCATTGCTTACTTACAAGTACTTAAGGTCCTTTGAATGACTCGTAAATATGATATAAAGATAATGTAATAATATCAACATTAATACAAAATAATGGAGTTATTATACGTGAACTCCATAATGTATTGCCAATTTAATAAAAAGAAACTAGAATGTTAGCTAAATAAGCCAATGATTACAATATTTAAAGAACATTCTTATTGCTTTAACCAAAGTATTCCTCGCAGATGGCGTAAAAACATATCAAGTAGTAATAGTTTTCGCAAGTTAACTGGATATTGCTTTAGGGTAACTACAGCTTTAATTTTTAAAAATTCGCGTTTGGATGATTGCAGATCCAAATCGAGACCGTTTATACAATGCATTACGATAGACGAGAGACACTTTAGTCTTGCTTTTGCATTGCAAATGCTATATAACAGTTTTCACTAAAACAATGTGTTTCGAAATAGTTTTATTTTCTGAAAGGGAAAAAAAAAGAATTTCTCTCAAAATGGGAACATTACCAGTTAAAATGTAAATACAAGATTTTAAATCACGAGAACTATTTATAATTTTGTTTTATAATTTAACTTCAGCTATGATGGCTCCAGTAAACGTACGTACAAATCTACGTAATGGCTAGTCAATTCGCTTTTTGCTGTCCACTCTTGCAGATCACAGTGCTGACATAAAATAGCCTGAGCTTTAGACGGATTATGGGCTAGATCTTCTTTGCCATGTAGCTAATCATGAGAGGATTTCCTCTCCAAGCAAGGCAAAGACGAATTAATTTCAATCCTAAAGTTTACCTAAAAGCTGAGTTTGTCTCAGGCTTAGTCCACGAGTTACCTTGTCTTCAGGGTTGGGATTAAAATAACAAGATTACGGACGTGAAGTTCCGCTATTTCATATGGCTAGGCAGTTCAACGATGTATATGCAACTAAATTACTTTTTAAAAAATGTTTATACGAACTTAATTGTCATTTCCCTTCATTTCACGCATGCGTATTAACAATAACAAAAAAGTTCCCTTTAAATAGAAAATAAATCAACAATAAAAAATGTCGGTATTAAGCGAGAAAGGCATGATTGCATTGATTTCAATGTAATAAAGACTGTTTAATTGTGTAGGGATTTATTAGGATTAAGTTATGTGGGTGAGGATGTATTTTATCAATACCCACCTGACAAATCTGATTGAAATTTTCCAAAGAATAAACGAAATAATTTTCCATCCTATCTACATATTAGGACGTAAGAGCAGATTTAACACCCGGAAATAGTAATGATTCATTGTGAGTTATATTAAGGAAAGGA